GGAGGCCTCCCCTTGGCGGGCGCCCTGCTCTGGCCTGTGGGTCGTCGCACTTCCCCCTCCTCCCCCTCCTCCTCCTCCTCCTCCTCCTCCTCCTCCTCCTCCTCCTTCTCCTTCTCCTCCTCCTCCACAATTACTCAATAAGAATACTGCTCTCCCTCTTCCCCTGATGACGGTTCCTCCTGTCGGGTGCGAGCGAGGGGGGGGGGGCGGAAGCGAGGAGCGTGGCCCCTCCCTCCCCACAGATCCAACGTGTTGAAAAAAAATCAAGACGGAGGTTTTTCGCTAGTTTCGGCCCCCAGGGGCCCTCGCCGGGCGCCAGGACCGCCAACAAACGATTCAGGACGAACAAAAACCGGTCCTGGGGAATGGGTCGAGACTTCCGGGGCCCGTCGTGCAAAAGTCACGACGTCGGATCTCTGGGTCCCAGGGGGGTGAGAAGGGTGCCTCCTCCTCCTCCTCCCTCCAAGGGGGGTGAGAAGGGGTACTCCTCCTCCCTCCCAGGGGGCGGAAGCGAGAAGCGCGACCCCTCCCTCCCAGGGGGGTGAGAAGGGGTGCCTCCTCCTCCTGCCTCGCTGGCGGCGAGCGCGGCTCCTCCCGGCGCCGGCGGGGCGCGTCGGGCGTGCGCCGCCGCCGCTGGTCGCCAGGCGTGCCGCGCCGCTCCCACGGGGTGTCGGGCGGGAGCGGCGCGCCCGGCTGCCAGCCCTGCGGGCATGCCGGTTGTGGAAGCTCCGAGCCTCCTCCTCGTCCCCCTCCCCCCCCCCCTCCCCCCCCTCCTCCTCCCCCCCTCCTCCTCCTCCTCCTCCTCCTCCTCCTCCTCCTCCTCCTCCTCCTCCTCCTCCTCCTCCTCCTCCTCCTCCTCCTCCTCCTCCTCCTCCTCCTCCTCCTCCTCCTCCTCCTCCTCCTCCTCCTCCTCCTCCTCCTCCTCCTCCTCCTCCCCCCTCCCCCTCCCCCTCCTCCTCCTCCTCCTCCTCCTCCTCCTCCTCCTCCTCCTCCTCCTCCTCCTCCTCCTCCTCCTCCTCCTCCCTCCTCCTCCTCCTCCTCCTCCTCCTCCTCCTCCTCCTCCTCCTCCTCCTCCTCCTCCTCCTCCTCCTCCTCCTCCTCCTCCTCCTCCCCCTCCCCCCCTTCCCCTCCTCCTCCTCCTCCTCCTCCCCCCTCCACCTCCCCCCTCCCGGGCTTCGGCGGCGAGCGAGGGTCAGGGGCGGCCCGACCGACCCCTATAGCAAGCCATCCCCTTCGGTGGCGTCCCCCTCGCCTCGCCTCAAGACGTGTGTATGCGGCCGGCAAGGAGCTCGACAGGCGAGGATGGCGTCACGGGAGGGGCTGGTTTGCTAAAGGCCCGTTCGGCCGGGCCCGAGAGCTGTGGGGGGGGGAAGTGAGAAGGAGCGGGCTTTTTAATTCAGAAGGCTCAGAAGTCCCCTCCCTAAATTCTTAATCTTATAATTATTAAACACTAGTTACCCTAAAAACTGCCCGTATGCAACCCCGCTCCATCTACTGTAAAAAATCGCATTTCCTGAGCATGCGTGCAGAATCTCATTTTTTACAGCACAAAGTGCCCAGCCCCCGTCGCGATCCGCCTCCATCCTATGCAAAGAATAGCCTTTCCTGCGCATGCGTGCAGAATCTCATATTTTTACAGCACAAAGTGCCCAGTCCCCGTCGCGACCCGGCCCCATGTACTGCAACAAATAGCATTTCCGACGCATGCGTGCAGAATCTCCTTTTTTTTGACAGCACAAAGTGCGCCCCCCTTATGTAAACCCGCTCCATCTACGGCAAAACATAGCACTTCCTGCGCATGCGTGCAGAATCTCATGCATTTTACAATACAAAGTGCCTTCCGTTGCGACCCGATGCACCTATTCTACCGACTAGCGTTTCCTGCGCATGCGTGCAGAACCTCTTCCGCCCGACCCGACTCGTCCCGCCCGTTACAGCACTCGCGTGCCAACTGGATCGCACATCAGTCGTCGCCGTCGTCGTCGCCGTCGTCGTCGTCGACGCTGTATTCGATGCGGTTCTAACGAGGGGAGAGATGATCTTTATGGTGGGGTGGCGTGCGGGTGGGAGTGACGGCCACCGCAGGTGGGTTCGCGGTCCAGGTGTACTCGTGGCCACGCCTAGTAGACCCTAAACCCTAAACCCTAAACCGCGACCCGCGACCGCCCGCGCGGCTCGGCGCGCACATCCCTCCGCCCCTCTCGCGCGCACAAGGGGGCACGCCGATGACATCGATCGCGCGGGTGCACCGACCGCAGTAACGAAGGAACGTGGAGGCTGGGCGTCGAACGCCTACCTGGCTTACATCGACCGCGTCCGGGTCGAAAGTGAGAGGGTAGCGGCCGCGCGCAACGCCGCGTCCGACTGCTCGGACAGCTCTGACAGCAGCTCAGACACCTAGTGTGGCTGCGACATCCCGGCGCGCGCCCGAGCGCCGCGCTCCGCGTGCGCAACGGGTGAGCGGCGCACGGCGCTGGTCGCATCGTTGCAGTGGGTCGTGCTGCGACCAGCACCGAGGCCTCGTGGCGCCCGCGCCCTCTCGGCGCGGCGCAGGCTTCGGCGGACACCCAAGGCTGCGGTTGCAGACGCAACCCAGCTACGGGTGAGCGGGGTGCTCAGCGAATTTGTGTGTATGGAACGAGTTCGGCCCCTGGTTCCATCGCACACATTCGCTGGCCCCAGGCGCACGCGGCGGACGCAGGCGCGAGCAGTCGCCGCGCCGCCGCTTGGCTCGCGCGCGCCGCGGCGCGCCGCAGGCGATGTGGGCAGGCCCGCGCGCCCCCGCGCGCGGCCGCTGCCCGCCGCGGCCGCGCGCAGGCACCACAGGTTTGTGCATGCCTGGGGCGCGCGCCCCGCGCTCGGGATTTGACCCACCCGTGCCCGCCCCGTTGCTGGGTCGTGCTGCGACCAGCGCCGAGGCCTCGTGGCGCCCGCGCCCTCTCGGCGAGGCGCAGGTTTCGGCTATAGAAAAATAGGGGGATATTTTTATTTGTGTGTATTTATTTGTGTGTCCCATGGCCCCTTCAGAGAAGTCCTGCCGCCTTCTGAGAAGGCCTCCTGCTTCTCTTTGCCCCTTCCCCTCGCTCGCCGCCGATCCTGGTCCGTGGGCCGCGCTCTTTTGGCTAGTGCCGGGTCCGGCCCGGTCCTCGGGTCGCTTGGCCTTCCTGGGTCATCGCCCCGGGGGCCTGGGGGGGGCACCCTTAAAACGACGCGAAGATCGGGACAACATCGGCTCGGGATAACTCGACATCTCTGAGAATCGGCGGGTTTGGAGGATGTATTGGGCGCCGCGGCCGCTCCAGAGCGTTCCGGAACTCTGAGAGCGCTCCGGAATGCTCTGGAGCGATTTATCCCGATCCTAGCCCTTTTTTAGACCCTGGGTCTCCCTCTTGAGGAGGTGCCCACCTCGGACTGCGCCGGCAGAGCAGCCAGGCTTGGTTGGAGTCGCTATGCCGGCTCCCTGGGTCGCTCTGCCCGTGGGTGCTCCAGGCTGCCGCGCCCGTGCTGTGGTGCGTTCCAGCGGCCGTGCGGGCTCGCTGGCAGCGGTGGCGGCAGCGCGCAGCAGGGCGGGCTATTGTGAAAGTCCTCGGCTATGCTGGCGAAGATGACAGAGGAAGACGGTATTGCCGCTCACGCGTGCACGCTGTTGGTACAGTCGGGGCCCTGAAGAAGGAACCTTTTTCGTTGGGGAGGGGCTCCGCGTTCTTTCAGTGCTTCACAGTTTGCCTCAGGTTTTCCTTATGTTTTCGATGGGAAATCGAAGTTTAACTTTTTGGGAAAAAAGGGCCTCGTTCCTTACTTTGGGTTCCTTAGGTCAAGGCCCCGACGGTATGTGCAGCTGGCACCCATGGCATCTGGGGCCCTCGCCCCGTCGTTTGAGCCGCTGTCGTCTGGGGTGAGCTCGCCGGCGGACGAGGAGACGGGCGCCACGGCGCTGAGGGCGAAGGTTCAAGGGCATCAAAAACGCGACCCTGGTTTACGAGGCGCTGTGCGCTGAAACTCCTGTGGGCTGACAGGGTAAACCCTGCGTGATGTGCCGCGGCCTGGCGGCTCTAGGATTTGGGGGTTCCCGGGAGGTTTACAGACCACGCACTTGTAACCCAGGGTAGGGCCGTTTTTTTCATCCCTCAAAAGGTGTTGCTCTTGGTTGCGCCGCGAGTCGGTTTCGGGTGGTTCCAGCCTGTAGCAGTCTTGCTGTTTTAGGTGTCGTATTCGCCGGCGTTGGCGTTGTCGCGCCTGGTCGCGAAGACCTACGCCAGCAAGGCGCGGCGGGCGCCGCGCCTAGCCGTCGCCGGCTGCGGGACCCCCCGCGGGCCCTTGCCCCCGAGTCGCGCAACGGCTGTCTTTCCTCCTCTTTTCTTCTCTTCCTCCTCCTCCTCACCACCATATCCCCGCCTGACCCTGATGCCGAATGTCGTCAACAATGATTTGATGGAGTGGACGTGCCTTCCTCGAGGGCTGCCTGGCTATGGCGTGGCATCACAGCCAGGAGTACCCGCTGCCCGTGCTCGGCCGCGTCGGCGTCGGCCTCGAGTCCGCGTGCCCTTTCTCGATTTCGGAGTGCGTGGACATAGAGTGCTGCATGCTCGGCACGGGCGTGCACGGGAGGACGGGCAGTGGTGGAGCGGTCAAAAAGAAATCCTCCTATTACTCTTCGTCATCCTCCTCCCCCTCGTTCTTCCTCGTTCCTCCTCCTTCCCCTCTTCCCCCTTCTCCTCCTTATCCTCCTCCTCCTCCTCCTCCTCCTCCTCCTCCTCTTCCTCCTCCTCCTCCCTCCTCCTCCTCCTCCTCCTCTCATCCTCCTCCTCCTTCCTTCCCCTCCTCCTCTCCTCCTCCTCCTCCTCCTCTCCTCCTCCCTCCTCCTCCTCCTCCTCCTCCTCCTCCTCCTCCCCTCCTCCACCTCCTCCTCCTCCTCCTCCTCGTTCCTCCTCCTCTTCCTCCTCCTCCCCCTCCTCGTTCCTCCCGTGCGCTGCCGGCCTCGCACCCCCCCGAGAGCACAGGCCCGATGCCGCCGCCGTGGTTCGGCATGCCCGCGCCCCCGTGGATGGGCATGTACCCGGGCATGCCCGTGCAGCCAGGCGGGCCGCCGGCCCCGCGCGGGGGAGGGGCGCGCGCCCCGCTGAGATCCTGGCGCCGCAATCTGTTCACAACGGGCAATTTGTTCACAACGGGCATTATGTCCTCCTCCTCCTCCTCCTCCTCCTCCTCCTCCTCCGCCTCCTCCTCGATCCTCCTCCCCCCCTCCCCCCCTCTCTCCCCCTCCTCCTCCTCCTCCTCCTCCTCCGACCTCCTCCTCCTCCTCCTCCTCCCTCCTCCTCCTCCCTCCTCCTCCTCCTCCTCCTCTCCTCCCTCTCCTCCTCCTCCTCCTCCTCCTCCTCCTCCTCTCCTCCTCCTCCTCCTCCTCTCCTCCTCCACCTCCACCTCCTTCTCCTCTTCTTCTCCTCCCCCTCCTCCTCCCCCTTCTCCTCCTCCTCCTCCACCTCCTCCTCCTCACATTGATCCGGGACCCTCACACATTGATCCAGCTCGAAGAATGACGCAGAGAGAGACGGGGCCCGGGTTTCGAGCGTGATCTTCTGCGAGGCTGCAGTTTTTGTATATGCCGCGTCGGCTTCTCGGGGCCTTCTGCTCGGCGGTGCGCAGGAGAGGTCCTTCGCCGGAGTGGGCCCATCCGACGTGGGCCCACGGAGGGCCCCCGACCAGCGAGGGTTGGCGCGCGTGGGCTCGGCCTCCCCGCGGCCCCGAGAGCCGCGCACCAGAGGGCGCTCCAGAGGGCGCTCCTGCACGCAGGCAGTCTGAGACAGCCTATACTCACCCTCGTCTTTGCCCCTCTCCCCCGTCCTCTATCCTCGCTCCTCCACCTTCTCCGTGCTCCCTGCTCGTCGTCGTCCTCCGCCTCCTTGGCGTCCTCCTCCTCCTGCCTATTCTTCTCCGCCTCCTCCGCCTTCTCCTCCTCCTCTTACTCCTCCTCCTCCTCCTCCTCCTCCTCCTCCTCCTCCTCCTCCTCCTCCTCCTCCTCCTCCTACTCCTCATCCCCAGAGGCCCCGTGGCCCCGGCATGTTTTTTTCGGGGGCGGGGCGACGATCGCCCCCAGGCATGGCCATGAGAGTTCGCTGCTGCGCATGGTCAGCCCCGTATCCATGAGACAAGCAGGACGTTGGTATGATGTTGTCGGTCAGCTTCGTAGCTGCGGTATCGTTGGCATTTCAGGCACTCGAAGTTTCCGCAGGCACTCCCCGCACACAAGATCGCCTCGGACGGTGTCATCGGTACCAGTGGAACGCACGGCGGGCAGTTCAGGGAGACCGACTGAGTGTGCGCGGTTAGTTTCGGACAAGCTATCTCCCCTGGGCAAAGCAAGCGGAGACGGATGCTTCAAGGAGATCCCGCTGGACGGGTTTTGGCGTCCAGGTTCAACTCGGAGACTCCGGAAAAAAATGGACTATCGTTTGGGCATCGGCACTTGCGGAACCGCATGGTGGCCGTGGCAAGGCCGAGTTATTGAAGATACGTGAGACGCACTGGACTAAGATGAAGGAGTTGCTGAGTGAACTAAGTGTTTGGACGGTGTCCACCTTTCTCTTGGACGCGAGCGCCAGAGTCGGTTCGACCCTCAGCGACGCCGCTGTGTGTTGCAGAGTGGACGGACAGGATAGCAATGGCGGCATGTTCAGAGATATGTTAAGTGATCATCATTTTGGGGCGCGGAGCATGCTGATTTGAATGCACGCCGACGTACTACCATTGTGATGGTGTTTCGACAGCGAGAGGGAGACTACAGTCCATGGTCGACGGTAGACGTTTGTGGACATGCAAAGCAGTGTTGTATATTAGCTTTCCTGATATTGCGGTTATCCGCGTCGGTCCTTTTTTTCCAGAGAGTCGGAGAACGTTAAGTGGGTAGTGAAAGACGTTAGACGGGTAGTGCAGACGTGCAGTTCTTTCCGGTGAACGGAGACTGGAGTCTTTGAACCAAGTCACTCGTACGAGGGGACAGTTTGCAGTGGACCCAGACGAACACATCCGACAACGTGCTGACTCCTTGCGCCTGCATGTGCAAAACGCGGTGAGGCCTGTCTCTGAAATTTCCAGTTGCTGCCTGAGCGCTCCTGGAGGGAGTCCGACGCGGTTGCTGCCACACAGAAACGAGTCGAGTTGCGACGGCAGTTTCGCGAGCTCCGTGCTCTGGCCCCTCCGCCCCCCCCCCGTTTTCCCTACGTCTCGCCATTGCTTCTGCTCGCCTTTCTTCCGCATGATTCTTGTGGCGGGCTCCTTGATGTGCACGTCGAACTCTTAGGGCGACGCTCGGCAGGGCGAGTGAGCTCTCCAAGCGCATCATCCTGCGCCGGAGCGTGGACAAGGAGGTTTGTGCTTCGGCACGCTGTGACAAGAACCGTCTTCTAGGGGTCGCGAGTGTCCGAGCTTGGAGACGCGCGGGAGCAGGGTAGTTTTGTTGATTCTTCGGGCTTTGTCAGGGAACTCAGCGGCAGGGCCCCTGGCCCCGAACCTAGATGTGTTCTGCTCCCCGGATGCTTATGGACAGCTCTACGTGGTCGGATTGCTTGTCCCAGTCTGGGTGCGAGGGCGGCATCTTCGCTTGCGCCTTTATTCTCGGCCGCGCTCTTGACGAGAGCCTGTCCAGGGAACCAAAAGGAGGGCGACGTGTCCGTCGCTGTGAATGAAACTAGGGCGACTCGCGGGAAAGTCTCGGGCTCGCTCAGGAAGACCAATCTTCGCCGCGCGCCGCCCAATGAGTCCTTCCCTGCTGGCATCTGGCGTATGATGTTATGGCCTGAAGAGTGCAAGCTCAACCTTACGGCAGGTCTCGGCGTGTGTAGTGAAGAAAGTGTTGGCTTGCAAGCTATTTGGCATTGCCCGTTTCTGAGTTCAGATGCGGCTCGTTTCCATTCTGGAAGTATTTTTGTTTGGCAGTTCACATGAGCGTTTACGTCAACAAGGGGAACGGACACACGGATTGTGTTGGTATGTGCGTGTTGTCCATTGTTTGGAGTCGTTCGGACAGATTCGCCACGAGTATCTTAAGATGATTAGTTTGCGTTGATTTCTATTTGCGCGTCTTGCCGCAGTTCTTTTTTATTCAGAACGATTGGTGCACGGCCGCGTCAGTTTCGAATGTGTTGATGGCGTCCGGGATGTGCTCGTTGATTCGGGCGCCCTCTTTGAGATTCGTTTGCTTGCAGATGGCTTTGTGGCCCTTATCGCTGGTCCGTCGACGGGGCCACCGGTTCCGAGAGTGGCTTGGCTAAGCGTCGCGATCACCTGGCTTGAGTGTTGGTTGCCTGATGTTGCGTGCGATCGCCTGTCTCTTTGCTCGTGGTCTCCGATCAGCATTGCCTTTGTGAGGTTTATTGACGGTCGCCCTCGCGCTCAGTTCGCTCGTTCGGCCGACGGCTCGGTCAGGTTGAACGAATGCAACGCCGCTCATCTGCAATACAGACTAAGCATCATGGGCACTCAAGCAACTGCGAGCAATCCGGAGTCCAACGTCCATCTCTACTGCAAGGGCGCCAGCGATGCAAGGCGTGGACTGTTCGGGGGACGCCGCCCAGAGAATGACGAACGGCTCGTCAGAAGTGGGGGTGCCACGCATGGCCGAGTTGCTTTCTCAGATGCTGATGGTGGGGCCCCGCTCGTCGGCCGGACGGCAGTCTCCCCTCTGCAGTCCCCAAAGGAGCCTTGAAAGCGAGTCCGCGGGGACAGCATGCTCCAGGGGTTCTGGCAACATTCGGGGGCGGAACAGAGGGGGGGGATGACTAGGAGGGGGTGGATATCATGGCGCGGGCCACGATATTTCCCCAGATTTCGTGGCGCCTCTACTTCTTTCATCACGTCCCTGGCCCCCCCCCCGTTGGGCCGCGCACTTGCCGCCGGTCATGATTTGCACCCCACCCTCTTGGACACCCCCCTGTTGGCCGCTCCCGAAACGTGGCACCCGTCGCCGGCAGAAACGCATCGTGTTCAGACCCGTCGTCGGAGGGGCCTCGCCTCTGTGTGAGCTACAGCTCGCGCAGGCGTCGCGGCCCCCTGGGCGGGTGCTCGGCTCGACGCCTGCCGCGTGGCGAGGCGAGCGGGGGGAGCAAGGGCGATGATGTGCGAGATGCCGCGCCGTGACTAGTTCGCATGTGATGCTTGTGTTGCAGATGCTTGCAACGTCGCCCACGCTGCGAGCGCAGCGGCCTGCGGGGTGTCGCTCGCGGCCTACTTCGCCGCCCTGTTCGGAGGTGGCCCGCGGTGCGGCCATGAATTCGGGTTCGTGGATTGGGGGATGGGGGGGTCGCCAGTTTTGTCCCGATACAGGGTGGAATGGCGGAAGTTGATGCAGCAGGACGTCGCCGACCTTTGGGTGCGACATGGGTGCGGCTAGACCTACCTGTCCCAATATTTGGCGACGAAGAAGTTCGGCATGCTATCCCAGGCCAACAGACACCTAGGCATGCCTTCCCAGGCCAGCGGGCTTTCAGGCTGACGGACGCCTCCGTCCGTGCCTCTTGGTTTCTCCCCTTCGCACCCACACCACTCGTCCTCCTCTGGCCGCATCTCATGGGTTGGTCTGCGATGTCAAGCTGGTGTGGGGGGGTCTTTGCTGTGATGCTTCTCCCACTCGACGTCAGCTATTCCTTCTTCGCCGAGCTAACTCCTTGCCCCCCCAACCGCGGTCACAGAGTTCTGCTTAGATTTCGATATCAAACCCTTGTATATGAGAGGGGATATGCATTTGACAAAATGCACCTTTCCTCACCAGAACATATGTTTGCCATCTTCCCGCCTGCGGATAATGTGGAGGTGTAGGAGGAGGCGGAGGAGGAGATGGTGGATGAGGGGGAGGAGGAGGAGGAGGAGGAGGAGGAGGAGGAGGAGTAGGAGGAGGAGGAGGAGAGGGATGCAGAGTGGGTGGCAGAGGAGAGGCTGTGGCAGAGCAGACATGGACGAGGAGGTGAGGAAGCTGGGCCGGGGAGGGGGAAGCGGAGAGGGCGGCGCGAGGGATTGGGAGGCGGAGCAGGCGGCAACGGCTGGAGCGCCTCTCCAGGCGAGACGCCGGACGTGGACCCCGCGGCAGCCGCCGACTCGCTGCTGGACGCGCTGGCGGTGGGCGAGCCGGCAGAAGGCCGCCGGGCGCTGGCGGGGGCTCGTGCGGCCTGCGCTGTCGGGGCGCTCCGGCCGAGGGATGGGCGGGGTGGCACTTCGCCCTCGCAGGAAGCCGGCGGTGGCGGGCGAAGACCGGCTTAAGATTCGAGCAGTGGCGAGGCGTCCCGGCATTCCCGTAGGCCCACCAAAACAATGTTCTTAGAGCCTTGTTGTGGTCTTCGCGAAAGGTTCTAGGAGCACTTCTCGCAGATAGATGGTCTTGTTCTAACCCTTGGGGTCTGTGTTCTAAGAGCGTTTGTGTTGGCCGAACATGCTGGGGTTCCCAGATCATGTCGTGCTGGGCCTACAGGGCTGCCGGGGCGGTCGGCCCCTGCAGGAGGAGGAGGAGGAGGAGGAGGAGGAGGAGGAGGAGGAGGAGGAGGAGGAGGAGGGGGGCAGGCGGCCCCGACAGCGAAGCAGCTTCCCCTACACGGTGCTTCGCCCGTTCACTCGGGATGCCCGCGGGGCCCCACCGCTCGGAGGAGGAGAGGGCACTCCTGCCACCGCGCTTCCCTCGTCGTTCTCCTCTGGGGGCCTGCTGGGCGGCCCTCGTCGCCACTGCTCACCACCCACCAAACCACCCCAACCCAACCCGAAGGCTCAGATTTACCCTCGATTTCCAGTGGAGGGGGGGTCGGGAAACATCGAAAAAACACATGTGGAACCCTTACCCCCCCAACCCGACATTCGGGTCTTCGGGTTGGGTTGGGGTGGTCTGGTAGGTAGTCAACTGCCGGCTTCGCCTCGAGAGCCTGCTCAGAGCGCGCCCGTGGAGACGTCCAGGGAGCAGCGGTCTCGGTACTTTTAGGTTCCCCCACGCTCGTCTAAAATACTGCACCTGAGATGCTCCGACACTTCGGCAGGTTTGAGCTCAGGCCCCTCACGAAGCTTCCGCTTGGGAGCCCCTGGGAGAGGTGTCTGGTAACAGGAACTGCCGGCGGCAGCCAGCGGAAGTGAAGCGAGGGCGGCTCCGTTGGCGGAAGGTCGGCGGAAGGCAACGCTGGCCCCCCAAGAGAAATTAGCGCATGCGTGCGCAGAGTTGCCCGGGGCCGACCTCCTGATGCTCGGCCTCAGTGATCCTCCTCCCCACCTCCTTTCGGCCAGCTCAGGGGTATCCCTTTGTTCCCATCCCTGCTGTGTCGAGTTCTCGCTTTGAATACTGCAGTTGTTGTTGCTTCTCCTCCTGCACCTCCTCCTCCTCCTCCTCCCCCTCCTCCTGCTCCTCCTCCTCCTCCTCCTCCTCCTCTTCCTGGCTCCCCTCTCGTTCCCCCTGGCCTCTCCTCCTCGTCGCGTGTCTCTCTCGGCTTCTCTCCGTGGTCCGTTTCTCTCGCGGACAGGTGCTCCCTCCCCCCTCGGTTTTTGCTGGCGTCACCGGGGCCCGCAGCGGGCCGAGGGCCTCCCGTGGGCAGTCGGCTCACCGAGCTCCTCCGTGTCGGCGCGGCACGCCGCTGCGTGCTGCGCAGCGGTGCAGCTGAGGTCCGATGCTTCTTCCACCCCGCTGCGGCCCCAGCGCCCTGGCTGGAGGGCGCCGCACTGTGAACGCAGGCAATGCATCTGCTGTTGGCGCCCTGTTGCCCCTCCTCCTCCCCCTTCTCCTTCTCCTCCTCCTCCTCCTCCTCCTTCTCCTCCTTCTCCTCCTCCCTCATCGCTACGCGATCAGGCAGAGTCTCTTCCTCCTCGCTCTCTTCCTCCTCCCCCTTCTCCTCCTCTTCCTCCTCCTCCTCCTTCTCCTCCTCCCTCTCTTCCTCCTCCTCTTTTTGCGCAGGCGGGCGCGGCGCCAAGAGCGGCGGCGGACACAGGGCGAGGGCACCCGCCGCAATCATGGCGGAGGAGCTCGCCGCTAGGGGGGGGGCTGGGGATTGGCTCAGGGGGAGGGCTCTTCAGAGGAGGAGAAGGTACCGACCTATCCTTCCCTCATTTTCCTCTGTTTGGACCCTCCTGTGATGGGCCAATTTTCCACCACTGCTATCATAAGTAGGACGCGGGAGGAGGGAGAATGGGGAGATCCTCCTCCTCCTCCTCCTCCTCCTCCTCCTCCTGCTTCCCTGTACCTTATAATTAATTAGCGTCTCCCTGTCGCACCCCGAGGCCAGTTTTTAGGGCGGGCCAGGCGTTTCGCCTGAGACTTCCTCGTCTATGTCTGTGAAGCTTAACAAGCATCATCAGTTACACAGATGGAGAGCGGGTGGTCTTCAAAATGATGCTCTCGCCGTAGTGCCGCGCACATTCGTTAAACAAAACATTGCAACAGCTTCACAGATGGAGAGCGGTTCATCTTTTGAATGTGGCTCTCGCCGTAGCGCCGCGCACTTTTTTAATGACATTTGCAATCGTTTCACGGATTCCCATGATCAACATACCAGAAATGGTGTTTTGGAAGGATTCAGAATTATGCGGGTCAATACTTCTGTTGAGATCCGGGGCGTTGGAAGTCCCATGGCGTTCTGACACGATCCCGGACCGCCAAGACGCAACAATCAGGTTGATTCGTGGCGTTGGAATCCCGAGAACAATGTTTTGGCATGCTTCAGGGTCTTCAAACGGTTGTCTTCCAACGAGGCAGTTCCCTCTGTAGAACTGAGCCACTGTAAGGGGCCAGTGAAGAGGGGGTTGGAGGGAGGGTTTATTCCAACATCGTTGATGACTCTTGGGTTTACACTGGACCTCCTCCTACACCTCCTCCTCCCCCTCCTACCTATAGAAGTGGTGGTGGAAAATCGGCCCATCATCCTGGGAGGCCCTCGTCGACGCCGCCGGATACGCCGCGGAAGTCGTGGTACGAACGCATCCCGGGAGAGGTCCCGGGAGCAGCGGTGCCGGCCCCTTGTGGTTTCCCCAGCTCTCGGGCGTGTTCGATGGTTCCCGGCAGGCCACGCGTGAGGTTGACCTTCGGCCGGAATGACCTCTTGGTGCGAGCCCACGGTGGGGGCCCAAGCACTGGCTTGCGCGCTTGGGTCTGGGCTCTTCGCGGCCGCCTGAAGCCGCGCGCCAAAGGCCACTTCTTGTCCAGGGTCGCTCCTGCGCGTAGCCTCATGTCGGGCGTGTCCCCCTACAGGGGGATTTCCGACGACAAATGTAAAATATTACAAATAAGATTCCAACATGGTCCAACACTACTCAAACAAATAGTCCCCTGATAATTGTTGCTTCTGTTTCTGAATGTTCCTCCTGTAGAGGGACAGGCCTGACTTCAGCGTAGCCGACCCGGCTGTTTCCATGCGTTGCTGTCGGTTCTCGGCGGCTCTTCCGGCCTCGGGGCAAATGCCAGCACGGTCGATCTGGACGCCCGAAATGGGTGCGGCAAGAATGGGCACAATGCCCAACAGCAGTTCCTGCTCATTTCGAACAGGGCTCGCTGTCCGCGCCGCCGCGGCCTGTGTCCGTTCGAGACAGAAGGCCGCCTGCCCAACAGCGGCCGCTGTTGGTTTGGGACGACAGGAATTATACCCAGTCTTTCCGACTCGGGAGGCGCTGTCCCTCTGCAGGCCTGTTTTTGAATTCCTGTAGAGGGACAGTCTGTTTTTGAAACACAGGCATTGTGCCCACTCTTTCCGTGCCCATCTCGAGCGTCCGAAGTCGAGCCGCAGCGCCTCGCCGAGAGCGTTCTGCAGGGGAGCCCGCGGAGCGCTGCGAGGGGCCGCTGGAGCCCCGAGCGAGGGCCCTTCAGCCCGCAGCCTCCGGGACAGCACTCAGGAGGGAGAGCACTCAGGAGGGAGATCATCGTCGACTGCCAGGAGAAGATGGGAGAGAAGCACACATCGGGGGCGGAATGGAGGGGGGTGATGACTAGGGGGGGCGGGATTTGTGGATTTCTTGGAGTGGCCATGATATTCGCCCCAGATTTCATGGCGCCTCTTCTCATTTCATCACGTCCCTGGCCCCCCCGCTGGGCCGCGCACATGCCGCCGGTCATGATTTGCACCCCCCTCTTGGACACCCCCCTCTGGGCCGTTCCCGAGAATATGTGAAAATATGGGAAGTGGGGGGGAAGGCCAAAACCCAGAAAATGTGGGACAACATGGGGAATCCTGTCCTTCGTGTGTATTTACTGGCGTGTCCCAGGGCCCCTTCAGGCACGACAACACCAGGGAGGGGGATGAGATCAGGGGAGGTGCATCGATCCCCGCTGGCCTAATTATCCCTCGCCGGTGTGGGGCCCGGGAGCTCAAGCCACCCACGGAGCGTGAGGGCTCGCCGTCGGGGGGCCATCGCCGAGCTCTCGGCGACGCTTCGCCGATGCTAGCTTTGAGTCGGGCCTGTCCCTCTACAGGGGGGATATTCAAAAATAGTTTAAAAAATAGTCAGGGGAATGTGTTTGGAACATTTTTCCGCCATTTCGGACATTTTCTGATTTTCTCATTTTGTCATCGAGAATCTCCCTTGTAGGGGGACACGCCCGACTCAACACTAAGGGGGGGGATGGGATCAGGGGAGGTGCATCGATCCCCGCTGGCCTAATTCTTTACGCTTCGCGTATCCCCACCAGCCCATCTCACAGCAGCAACTCTCGCGAAGCATGCCGACAGTCGTGTTTTTCAGGCGTGTGTCCGCTGGGCCCCGCATATCTCCCCTGTTCCTCCTTCCTCCCGCCTCCTTGTACATCCTCCTTGTGGGGGAGCGGGAGAAGGACGAGGCGAAGGGGGAGGTGCATCGATCCCCGCTGGCCTAATTATCCCTCGCCGGTGTGGAGCCCGGGGAGCTTAAGCCACCCATGGAGCGTGCGGGCTCGCCGTCGGGGGCCCATCGCCGGGCTCTCGGCGGCGCATCGCCGATGCTGGCTTTACGTCGGGCCTGTCTCTCTCTACAGGGGGAATAGTCAGAGATAGTTTAAACAAATAGTCTGGGGGCTATTTTTTGAGCCTTTTTTTGACCATGTTGGAGCATGTTCTGAGTATGTTTTTGTTCGTCGAAGATCCCCCTGTAGAGGGACACGCCCGCCCGAACGCCAGCTCGATGTTTCCCCCCCCCCCCCCCCCGAGCCGGTCCCCCCTCAGGGTGGGGCGGGGTCCGAGCGGACCTGCGGCGGACCTCGGGTCCTCGTTAACGGCATCCGGGGGCGGTCTTCTCGGGGAGGGGTCCTGGCGCATGCATGTGGTGGAGCCGTCGCAGCCAAAGACCATGCCAAGCCTTCGCGCTTCGCGTGCGCATCCCCACCAGCCCGTTCCAGAACCCTGCCCATGACATTCGACGGACGCAGGGCCGAAGAGACACATCTAGTGAAACGAAGCGGCGGGTCCATGGAGAATGGGAACGAGAGGAGGAGGAGGAGGAGGAGGAGGAGGAGGAGGAGGAGGAGGAGGAGGAAGAGGAGGCAAATCGCCTCTTGGGCCTTCGAGGGGCGCTCTTGGGGCGCTCGTCTGGCCTCTTGGAGGCAAGTCGGGAGCTACCCTGAACCATCGTCGGCTATATTGAGCCATTTTGGATGCCATTTTGGAGCATCGGACGCCCTCTTGGAGCTAGGCCATCTTGGACGCTCTAACGCGTCGCGGCCCGCCCCGAAAATCCTCAGGGAGGGAAGGGGTACACCTCCCGAAAGGGGAGAAGTTCTTGGAAGAGGGAAGAACGAACTCGTCAGGCCACCTTTGCCCAGATGGCTGGTGGGACTACTTGGGCAGCCTCATGAGCACAGAGGGAAGCCACGTGCAGAGCTGGTACGGCGCTTGTGTAAAGGGAAACCCATTCCAAACCATGCGCTTGCTGGGGCTACTCAAGTATGTCCAGAACGCGAAACACACAAATCCGGGGAGTTCGCGTCTTCTCCAATTTCTCAGATCGGCTCGAGCCGTGCATGCTTCTCATGCTGCCCAGGCCCGAAGAATGTTCAACGTTCTACTCGCTTGGCTCTCTCACGTGTGCAGAGCCGCGTGAGCGTGCGCAAATCTTAGTCTCTGAGGTCGACTTTAGTGTACATTGACTTGACGATATCTGGCCAACTTGCTCGAGTCAGAACTGACATCATACCACAACACTTTGTCCTTACAGTTGGTGGGACATGTAATACATCACCTTGGAATTCGACCTTCGATGCTAGAGGCTACAATGGACAACCTATACACGCTGAAGCCCCAGCAGGGGCTGTCAACCACATCGATACTTTAAACGCTCTGCTACAGAATCCTTCAGGATGGCACTCAGGAGTCACGCGACATTGCCCACTTTAGCTGACTGGTTGTGCCCTCCTTCCCCCTTCTCCTCCCACTTCCCCCTTTCGCGCTCCTTCTTGCTTGCAGGTTGCCGGACAGCTGCTCACCTCGTGCAAAGATTTCTGGCGATCACATGCAGTTTCTCTGAGCACGGTCCATAAGGACCACCACCGCCAAGATCGGTGACGGAGCAGCTAGGCAGCTACGGTGGGGGAGTACGAATGTGCCCGAGATGCTTGAGACCCTGGATGATTCCTGAATCGCTGAGGGCGGCAGTGAGATCCATGGCCTATCCACGATTGGTGTTCCACCAGCTTCCAGACCCTGCATTCCTTGTTTTTAAGGGTTTTTCATCCAACGCCCTCCACGTAGGCTTGTGTGGGGAGCCCGCAGTCGCAGTGCCGCCACCGACGACGACGGCCACCCCCCTCGCGCACGAGAACCCCCTCTCGAGTCTCCACGTCGTCTTCCTTTTCACTCAGTGGTGTCGTTGTGTGTTGACCGGCTGGAGGCCGCGTGGTCAAGTATGGCCAACTGGATTCCCAATTTACCAGCCTGGAACATATCCCTATACCTATGCTGGGCACCTCCTCATCACGATGCCAATCTTAGGGATTCCCTTATTTTTTTAGGGCGAATCCCTAAGATTGTCATCGCCTTTTGGCGTGTCAATCTTAGGGATAGGGATACGTTCGAGGCTGGTAACCAATGTCGGCGATTGCTGTGATGTTTGTTCCGCATGCGCCGAACGCCCGAGGTTGCCGCGAGGTGCGTGGGCGCCCGCTCAGCGGATTGGCGCCGTCGGCAGCGCCCGGCAGGTGTCAACGTGATTTCTTTCCCGGGTGGGATCCAGACCTTTGTGGGCCCTGGAAACGACAGGGCCGTTTTTTTACCGGTTCCGTTTTGCCTTTTTTTGCCAGTTCCAACGCCGTTTTTTTACCGGTTCCGTCGCCGTTTTTTGACTGGTTCCGGCTCCGGCTCCAATCTTGGAGCCGTTTTTTTGCCGTTTCCCGTCGCAGTTTTTTTGCCGTTCCCAGTTTTAAGGGACATTTTTTTGGAAACGGTGAACCCTGCTGTTTCCGGGACCCACAAAGATCCAGACCTTTGTGCGGTCTTTCATGGGAGCCTCAGAGTGTCCAACAATTCCGTGCAGTTTTGTGGATATTTGTCTGAGTTTCGTTGGAAGTGGTCTAGATCTGGACGACTTTCTGGACGAAAGGGTGAAGAGAGGCAGTCGGAATCTGGACGCAGTCCGGTCGAGATCGCGTTTATGATAGGGCCGCTGAGGTCCACAGAGGCTCCCATGAAGGCTAACACAAAGACCTTTCTGCGTTCCCCCGCCCAGACGGTGGGACGTAAAACGACACGAAGATCGGGACAAAATCGGATCGGGACAACTCGAAATCTCTGAGAATCGGCGGGTTTGGAGGATGTATTGGGCGCCGCGGCCGCTCCAGAGCGTTCCAGAACGCTCTCAGAGCGCTCCGGAACGCTCTGGAGCGATTTATCCCGATCCTAGCCCTGTTTTAGGACGTCCGCTGGTAAACCCCTTCCTGTGCTGTGCTATCATTTGGACGGGGGGGGGGGCAGCCAAGGCTTAGCGAAGGGGTTGCGAGGGGCGCCCAGGAGCGCTCGCCGGACAAGTCCGCGAGCGGGACTCTGCCGCACACCGCCCTGACGGGCAACTGGGTGGACTCGCAGGGCAATCAGGCGCAGTGGGGAGGAGGAGGACAACGAGGAGGGATTAGGAGGACGAGGAGGAGGATGATGGGGAAGCCTCTACCCGTAAATGGTTCGGGAAGAGTTGGCCAGCCCCGCCCAGGCAACCCTAGTCAGGTCATCATTTTCCTGCCTGGCGGGTTGCTCCAACGTCCACCCCCCTTCGCCTCTCTTGCCCCTTTTCCAGCGGCTCGTGCGCCCCGCGGGAGGTGTACCTGTCCGCCAGAGGATCACAGGATCACAGGATGATGGGGAAGGGGGGGGGCGAGGATCGAACAGGTTCGTTTCGGGAAGTTCCCTAGGCGACCCCAGGCCCGCAGAGGCATCTGGGGCGCACCTAGGCCGTCGTCGGCTGTCGGGGTGCCCTTGCAAAGTTTTCAGTGCTTGTGTCGGTCTCTGGAGGCAGCCGGGTGCTGAGGAAGCACGGCTTGCCAGTAACAAATGCGTGTACGATAGGTTCGCGTCGTGTCGACAGGCGGCGACCCCACCGCTGGCGTTCAACGTTGAACGCCGCTGACGACCCAGAATCGGTCGATGTTGAACGATCTGACGTTTCGGAAACGGCCAAGGTTGAACGATCCCCGCGGTGTCAGAAACCAACGCCAGGGCTTGGCACGACGCGAACTTGCCGTATGTGCGTTGGGCTTTTGGAGTCGTGTTGTTCAGCAGCAAGTCGTGTTGTTCCGCAGCGCTCTTGCGCATGTGGTGACCGTCTGCTCGTGGGCTGCGCGCCGCGGAGGGGAGGAAGTTAGAGCTGGCATGAGAGAAGAGAGTGCCCACAACTGGGACGCGGGTATCGCCAGTGTGGGCGAGAGTCGAAGGCGAGAGTCGAGGGCTTGTGGTAGACATGGTCAATTCCACTGCATCTTCGGAGGACCTCGCCTGTCCCAAACGTTGATGTCTTCTCTTGTGCCCGACGAAGGCCCGATGCGGACTCGACGCATATTTGGCGAGGATTCGCACGGATTCGATATGGATTCGACACGGATCCGATGAGTTCGACATGGATTCGAGACGGATTCGATTCGGGTAGGGCCGCGACGGGACAGAAAAGGGTCACATGTGGACGCAAGAAAACGCCAATGCCACGCGAGCAAATAGTGATGATCTTACCGATCGGGGCACCCTTCGGGTGAGAGGACGTTTTTTTTTTGGGGGGGGGGGGGGCTGCGTGCAGTTTTCGGTTTGCGATTGTATTCGGATCGGGTTAGAGATCCATCATGGGACAGCCAGGGGTCAATTACAGGACAGCCGCAGGATATCCATGGACCAACCACGGGACAACCACAAGATAGCCACAGACAGCCAAGGGACAACCGCGGGACAAACCTGGTACAATTAGTTAGTGCACAGGGCAACAACTAGACAACCGCGAGACAACCACGGACCAACCCCGGAACAACCACGGGGCAATCGCATATAAATTGTGGGGCAAGCGCAGATCGACCATGGGACAACCACGGGACAACCACAGGACAACCAGAGCATACGTGGAACAACCGTGGGATAACCACCAAATCAACCAGCGAACAGCCACGCGACAACCACGTGACAACCATGGGGACAATTGCGGGACGACCGAGGGGGCCATGCGGAGAGATGGAACACACAAAGACCCAAGGTTCAGCTTGAGGGGGATTGTAAGCAAGCGCTTCAGGCCCAGGCAGAGAGGAGGGGGGATGAGGAGGACAGGAGGCGTGGAGGAGCAGGAGGAATATACAAAGGCTTGTGTGCATCCGCCCTTGCCGGTGTAGTATAACGGGGACGTGCACTACATATTGATGTCTATACATGTTCAGCGTGTCAATATTCTTGTGTGCTCGTTGAAGGACGCAACGGAGCGAACCAGACATTGCGCAGAGGATTGGCGTGAGGAAGGCCAGATGGAGAAAGGCCGTTGATCCAGCACATGCGGTGACCCATTCTGTCGATGCAGGTGCACTGTGGCACAAGCGAGATATGCATTATTGCTGCGGCGAGGTGCAGGTGATGCAGGTGGATGCCTATACTGTCAAACTTATGGCGGTGCTATCAAGACCGCCCAGGCATGCTGGGAATGGACAAAGAGTTGGGAAGATGTCGGTAGTTGGAGGAGTACGTCGAGATGCGAGCGCAAAATCTCACCTCACCACCAGACCCCAAGCAACACAATCACGGCACTGCCTGGCGCCGGCGCCGCGGAATCTGCACCGCGCATCAACGTTCCTCCATCATGGTACTTTGATGCGGCAGCATCGCGGCATGGCGCCAGAGGAACGGCACGGCACAGGACGCCGTCGCATGTCATGGCGCAGCCACTGTACAGTCGGGGCCCTGAAGCAGGAACCCTTTTCGTTGGGGAGGGGCTGGGTGTTCCTTGAGTGTTTCACAGCTTGCCCAAGATTTCCCTTCGACTTTCGATCGGAAGCCGAAGTTTAACTTATGGGAAAAAAGGGGCCTCGTTCCTTATTTAGGGTTCCTTTGGTCAACGCCCTGACTGTAGATCGTTTCTTCGTCATGTCGCCAAACGAATCGAGTTCAATGGCACCAGCGGCACGGCACGGCAGGGCGCACCGCCACGCCACGGCAAAGGACAGCCACCGGATCCTCTGTTTCAAGCCGGTTGAAGCGGACGATGTTTCGCCCCAGCGTTTGTGGCATGTGTCTGCGTCTGCAGCTCCCTCGCGTCTCTCCCCCCCATCCTGGAATTCCTCCTCTCCCGCTCACCCACGCGCGGGTAGCGATGGTGTTGCCGCTGCTCCTGCCCACGAGGCAGAAGTCGTTCGATCGACAGAACCCAGGGTGGTTGCCAAAAACCATGTCTGTGCGTTTCCGCTGGCGGTATTTGTGTGTGGAGGTCGCGAAATTCTGCCACTTGAGTCAGTGCCAGTGTTGCCAAAGTTGGAAAGGCGGTAGAGTGATTTGCACAAGGAATCAAATCAGCATGAATAGAATCACGCAGCGTTGAACTTACCAACATTGGCCTCCACCAGAACTGTTGGCCTTTTGAGGCCAGCGCTTCAATAGGCCAGGAACCCTGACCGCAAGCCCAAGCAAGAATGCAGCACGAGCAACAGTTGAATAGAACGAAGGCAGCGTGGGCTCCATCAAAAAAAAGTGCTTACCGCCAGCATTGCAGACAGCTTCAGACGGCCAAGTGCGCCTAGAGGGACTCCAAGGACTGGCTATAGCACGGATGCGCAGATGTTTGACACATTAGCGCAGGAGAAACGGAACATTAGGAGCAAACATGAACCAGCACTCAAGGGTAATAGATTGTGGCAGTTGCCCCCGGCTTTTGCCCGAGCGGGGCAGCGGAATAGCACGGCAGCACCCTTACACACCCAAGCAACGATACACTTGAGCAAAGGGCAGTTACATTGGGAAACATGCAAGTGCAAAGCATCAGTGGAATTCAATCAATAATAGGCAGCGCGCCAAAACGGTACCACGATGCAGCAAACGGTTGCCATGCAGCATAGAGGTGAAACGCAAGCAACTTCAAAGTTGTAAAGCTCAATTCAAATACCATCACACATGGGAGCGGTAAGCGTTCGATGCACACCACATTGCAGTGCAAGTGGTTGCTGCTCTGCAACTTAAGACCAGACGCTCTAGCGCGAAAATAAACGGCAGCGCAAACGAATAGGAGTCTAACAGCAAAAGCAGATGCAATGTAGTTGCGTTCCGAAGATATATTCGGCGAACACAAAACAATCAACGAACCATAACATGCCGCGCAAGCCAAACTGCAATGCAGATCTCCTGTAATACGTCAGAAACAATTGCAGAGCTCCAAAAATGACAGTGTGGCAGCCGGCACTGAAGTGATATCAAGAGCGTTGTCTCTGGCCATCGTGCTTGGCACCAGCGCATCCCAGAACCATATCCAACTCTCTCGCACGAAACCCAGAGCCGTGAGGTCCCGACCAAACAGAGATACGCCGAACAAGAACAGCAAACAGTTGCAGCTCCAAGCATTGCAGTGGAAAGAACATTTAAAGTATATCACAACTTAATGCTGTGATGAGCATCGTGTTTGGCGCTTTGGGCACCACACCATGCCTGAATATCGCGAATTGCGCCCCAACTCACAATCGAAGCCTTGAATCGGAATTTCGAGCTCAAACGCAGACACGCGGAGCAGCAAACACCCGCCTTGCAAAATGCAGAGCTTCGGCGCAACAGAAAACAGCAGAGCCACACAAAAGATTCGGCTGGCCATCATGGTTGGCGCTTTGGACTCCACACACTCCCTGAACCTCCTTACACCTCTCCAGACACGCGAAGCCCGGAGTCCTGAGCTCAGGTTCAAGCATAGAGCGCGATGTTGAACTAATGTTTGCTCTGCTCTGCGGTTGAAAGGCAGATGTGTGTGAAGAGACTTGGCGTCCCGCCGTGAGCTACACAGCTAAGGACTTTAATCGTGCCGTCTCGTCAGGGAATTAGAGAAGATCAGGTCGCCCTCTTGCACTTCGAGAGGACCGCGCAGACCTCGACTCCATGGCATACAGAGTAGCACAGCACTGCCTTCTCCAGCGACGGGCATCTCGGTGCAATGCGTCACGGCATGCGCGGCAGAGCACTACTCAGAAGCCAGGCGAAGGAAGGCAAACCCGTGGCTGCTCAAACGGAGTTCGGGGAAATTGTTTCTTCCGGGAAGCAGCCCGTTTATTATTTAGCCCGTTGAGTTCTATACCCGGATTGTTTTTCCTTCCGGGAAGACCGGTTTAGCAGCCTCGGATTTGCCAGCCCTCGCCCATCTTCCAAACCGCGGCACGGCACGTCATTGCGGCGGGGCATGACGTGAACATTTTGCGCCACCGTGGGCGCCCCGTGCGTTGGTTGTCATTTTCAGGTGTTCGGTCTGTGCCCAGCCGTTGGCAGTTTGCGCTCGCGCGTGGGCGCCTCGTTGGCGCCATAGCTTACACCGCATACAGATTGCAATACGCATCTCACATACGTTGCTCCACATAGCCTGCAGCACACCACGGCTTGCACAATATGGATTGCACAACGCAGCCTGCACAGCAGCTTCCACCACGCAGCTTGCGCCACAGAGCTTACCTCACATAGCTTGCTCCACATAGCCCGCACACCATTGCCTGCACAATATGGACTGCACAACGCAGCCTGCCAGCAGCTTCCACCACGTAGCTTGCACCACATAGCTTACATCACATAGTTTGCCCCATATAGCATGCACACCATGGCTTGCACTATATAGATTGCACAACGTAACCTGCACAGCAGCTTTCACCACGCATCTTGCGCCACATGGCTTCCACAACAAAACTTGCATCGCATGCTTTGCAACACCTGTCTTACACGGCAGATGTTGTGCCACACAGCTTGCACCACACAACCAGCATCGCATACCTTGCACCACGAAGTATGGATAGCGTAGTCTACACCACACAGTTCGCACTACATTGCTTGCACCATACAGCTTGCACGTTGATTCGCCTTTCTAAAAGACTAATAGATTCTACCCCCCCCCCGGACTTATCGGGTCGCCCGCGCGTGCTGTAAATCACATATGATTCTGACCACATGTCCATCTTAAATATGAACCCATACCATCCCAGCCAAGCCGGCATCCCCCCCCCTGCGGTTCCCTGTCAAATAACACTATGCGGGGACATTTTTCTTTCTAACATAACACTTTTTCACGAATCCCTTGCAAAAAATGGGACGAAGTGCACACGCGCGCGTCGTCGCGCGCGCATGCCGAAATCCTTCAAAACCTTCGGTGCCGGAAGGATTTCGCAATCGAGTTTCCGAAAAACATACAAAAACACATGGTTTCGCAACATTGATTTGCTAAAAAAACTTCCGCGCGAGCTCTTGCGAAATCTTAAGAAAACCATAGGTTTTTCAAGATTTTCACAAAATGCTACCACACGGGCTTCGCGCGCGCGCATGTCGAAATCTGTCGAACGCCCTTGCGCGTGTGCCGTCGCGAGAATCCTTTGCAAAAAATGGGACGAAGTGCAGACGCGCGCGTCGTCGCGGACGTATGCCGAAAACCTTCAAAACCCATCGGTTTCGGAAGGATTTCAAAATCGTGCGTCCAAAAAACCTACAAGAACCCAAGGTTTCGCAACACGCATTTTCAACAAAAGCGTGCGCGCGCGCTCTTGCGTCGTCGTCGTCGTCGTCGCCGTCCTCCCTCCTCCCGCGTCGTCGTCGTCGTCGCCTACGTCGTCCTCTGTCTTTTCTCCTGTTTGTCGTCGTCGTCCTCTTTGGCGTCGTGGTCGTTTCCATCGTCGTTGTCGCCGTGGTCGTCCTTCCTCCTCCTCCCACGTCGTCGTCGTCGTCCGTCGTCGTCGGCGTCTCATCGTCGTCCCTCCTATGTCGTCGCCGTCGTCGTCGTCGTTGTCGTCGTCGTCTTCCCTCCTCCCTCGTCGTTGTCGTCGTCGGCGTCGCCGTCCTTCCTCCTTCGTCGTCGTTCGCGTCGTCACCGTCCTCCCTCCTCCTTCGTCGTTGTCGTCGTTGTCGCCGTCGTCGTCCTTCCTCCTTCCTCGTCGTCGCCTTCGTTGGCGTCGTCGTCGTCGTCTTCGTCGTCGTCGGCGTCGGCGTCGTTGTCGTCGTCGAAGTCGTCGGAGACGTCGTCGGTGTCGTCCTAGTCGTTGTCGTCGGTGTCGTCGTAGTCGGTCTTAACAGGTTTTGCAAACCAAGTTGCGGGTGGGTGGGTGGGATGTTTGCGCGAGCAGTGGAGATGACGACTTCAAGTTCCGCAGAGTGGCTTACACCACATAGCTTTCACCACGTAGTTTGCACCACGCAGCTGGCACCAAGTAGCTTGCGCCATTCAGCCTGCACCGCATAGCTTGCATGTTTGGGGGACTTCGCTGGCAGCCATCGTCGAAACAGGTCTCGCCATGCAACTGGAAGGCACATACTGAGTGGTGCCATGACGGTCTTTCGCGCTACGCGTATCCCCATCAACCCATTAAGAGACGATGCCCAGGCGAGTTGCCGTGATAAGTGCAGGTGCAGTGAAACACAACGTCGGGCCGCCGTCAATCCTAAGTTCGGGATCAGCCTGAGTAGACCCAGAAACCAACCAAACATCTGTTCGGAGATCTTTCGATGTGGGAGCCTCTAGGAGAAGCCTGGACTAGCTACCTCCTCTAAACTCCATGCGCCCAGAAGACTGGCGTGATTGACCAGAGCAACAGCAGATGCTGGGGAACCAGATTGACAGCTGTCCTGACCCATTCTTCACAGTAGCACTTCGCGGAAAGGTGTGTCATAGTTGCCAGCGCATGTTACGTGTGGACCTCAGGTTTTCTCCTCAGTGTACCATTCACGTTTTCTCTCCATACGAGTCTTTGCGACGTTACCCGATGAAGGACATGTGCTTATTCGCAGTCATGTAGTTGTTTGGCCGTGAAGCTTGAATGTCCAGCCCACGCGGACGTCTCAGGACAAAGCGCGCATTCATGTAAGAGTGCCACCGACCAGCGCTCTGTCGTCTTATTCATGGACATTTGAGCTGTGCCGATTCTGCATATTGTTGTCGCCTGCGCTGTCGTCGTAGCCGTGTTCGTCGTCGTCGCCCGCGTCGTAGTCGTTATTGTCGCCGTCGCCGCGGCACCTGCGCAGGAACGACATCCACTTGCCACTCAAGCCCATCACCGCCGGGGGCGGCTGGCAGTGTGGGCATTCCGTACTCGACCCCATGTGGAGGGTGAGGGGCTGGATTGGGTGACCAGGGTAGGTCGAAGAGGATGAGGGGGAGGATAACGAGGGCGAGGGTGAGAACACCTTCAGATAAGTAAGATGAATATTAATGAGACGATGGTGAGTGTGAGGGTGATGGCGATTATGATACGGAAGCAGAGGACGAGGCCGCTGATGGTGACGAGCATGGTAGGAGGAATGGAAAGCACAACCTGAGTTCCCCACGATGAAGATCCGACCTAAGGTAGGGCTGGCTCTGATACCGAGGCCTGCTCCCGCTCATGCACTGCTGCGGGTGCTGCTCGGTGCTTCCCACCCCTGTTCCGCTTCCCTTCCCTTCCCTTCCCCTGCTCCTTTCGCTCCTCCTCCTCCTCCTCTTCCTCCTCCTCCTCGTCCTCCTCCTCCCTCTAGCTCCCCAGTGTGAGGCACGATTTCTTCTCAGCGTGCTGCGGGCATCCGGACGGATGTTTGACCGCGCTGCCGTCGCCGTGCATCCCTGCGCCGCAGGCCTCGGGTACACAACGCTGAAGCTGGAGGGCGCCACGACAGGGCCGAAACGCTGACGCTTGCAGAGTCAGCTCCATCGGCCCGATCAGTTTGCATGTCCACTTCTGTGTTCGTCGGATTGCAGATGGACTAGGGCCGAGTCCCATCGGGATCGTGTGCGGGCCCAGTAGGGATAGGGTATTCGGCCCTCTCATCGTACGCTTCTCGGGGAGTCACATCACCACGCGCTTTCACACTACCCGCAGTCAGTTGTCACTGCTTCGCCTGCACACGCATGTCACTTGAACCGTTACATGGTAGATTTGTTTCGATGCTTGATTCGGTCGCACATCTGGAATTTCCAAATTGGTCGCGGCGATCATAGGGAAAGCGCGCCAGTGGATGCCCCTGAATACACAAAAAAGGGGGGCGTGCTCGCAGAATCCCCCCTCCCTCCCCCCTCCAAGGGGGGGTTGAGATTTTCGACCCCCCCCTCCTATCCCCCCCTTAAAAAGGGGGAGGGGGTCCGAACCCCCCCCCCCCCCCCAACCCCCTTGAACGGGGGGGTGGTTCCGGATCCCCCTTCCTCCCCCCTTGGCGCTGGAGGGGGGAAGGGGGTTCGAACCCCCCCCCCTCCCCCCCTTCGCGCCGAACACGGGGCCGGGGAAGGGGGCCTCTCCCGCAAGGGGGGGGGAACTGGCCTCGGGATAGTGAGTAGTGAGTAGTGAGTCGAGCGAATAGAGAGTAGTGATTAGTGAGTCGTGAGTACAGAATAGTGAGTAGTGCGCAGTTAGTAGCGAGTAGTGAGGAGTGAGTAGTGAGGAGTGAGTAGTGGCCAGTGCGCAGTGAGTACTGAATAGTGAAAAGTGAGTAGTGCGAAGTGGGCCGTGGGGAGTGGGTAGTGAGTAGTGAGTAGCGACCAGGGAGTAGCGAGTAGTGAATAGTGAGTAGCGAGTAGGACATTGTGAATAGAGGATAATGAATAGGGAGTAGTCAGTAGTGAGTAGTGAGTAGGGAGTAGATCGTAGCGAGTAGTGAGTAGCGAGTAGTGAGTAATGAGTAGTGAGTAGTGGGTAGCGGGGAATGGGTAGTGAGTAGTGAGCAGCGAGTAGGGAGTAGCGAGGACTGAATAGTGAGCAGCGAGTAGGGCATTGCGAGTAGAGAGTAATGAGTAGGAAGTAGTCAGTAGTGTGTAGTGAGTAGGGAGCAGATCGTAGCGAGTAGGGAGTAGCGAGTAGTGAGTAGCGAGTAATGAGTAGTGAGTAGTGAGTAGTGATTATTGAGTAGGGAGTAGTGATTAGTGAGTAGCGAGAAGCGAGAAGTGGGCAGTGAGTAGTGGGTAGTGAGCAGGGAGTAGCGAGTAGAGAGTAGTGAGTAGTGAGTCGTGAGTCGTGATTCGTGGGTACTGAGTAGTGAGTAGTTAGCAGCGACGTGTGACTAGTGAGTAGCGAGTCGGGATAAGCGATTAATGAGTAGTGAATAGTGTGTAGTGGGTAGCGAAAATTGCGTATCGGGTAGCGAATAGCGCGTAGAGGGTAGCGAGTAGTGAGTAGTGAATAGAGAGCAGTGATAACTGTGCAAGGAGTAGGGAGTAGCGAATAGCGAGCAACGGGTAGTGAGTAGTGAGTAGTGAGTATTCAGTAGTGAGTCGTGGATAGTGGCTAGAGGGTAGTGATTAGTGATTAATGAGTATTGTGTATTGGGTAGTGAGTAGTGTTTAGTGAGTAGGAGTAGTGAGTACTGCGTAGTGGGTAGTGAATAGTGAGTATTGAGTAGTGAGTTGGGAGTAGTGAGTAGTGAATGGTGGGGAGTCGGTAATGGGTAGTGAATAGTAGGTAGTGAGTAGTGATTCGTGAAGAATGAGCAGTGGGTAGTGAGAAGTGAGTAGTGAGTCGCGAGTCGTGAGCATTGGGTAGTGAGCAGTGAACAATGAGTACTGAGTGCTGTTTGGGGCTAGGGCTTGGGGTTATGGTTACGGGTGGTCGGGGTGGTCGTGTTAGGGGTGGGAGGGGTCGGATTCCGGAGCCAGGGGGCGCCGTGGCGAAAGGGGAGGAGGGGGGGGGGGCTCGAATTTGGCGACCAAAAAGAGGGAAGGGGGGGTGTTCGGACCCCCCCCCTTTTGAAGGGGGGGGTTTCCCCGACGACGGACCGGGAAAGGGGGGGAAGGGGTGGGGGTCCCCCGACGACGGACCGGGAAAACGGGGGAAAGGTGGGGGGGGTGTCCCCGACGACGGATCGGGGAAGGTCGGGTGGAGGGGGTCCCCCCCCCTTTGGGGCTATCCAGCGGCGCGCCTTCGATTAGAGGTACATCTTACATCGACTACAGACGTGCTCTGAGCAGCGGTGCGCTTTGCCAGAGAGCGCCATGGATCGAGCCAGCGGTGGTGGAAGAGAGTCCACGGTGTGGCAGGACTTCCTCCGCGCAGTTGCACTGGGTTGCCATGGACGGCCGCGTCTCGGCGCGCCTGGGTGATGATCGGCGTCCAGCTTCTCCATGAGACAAGGGAGTTTGATATTCTTGAAGTGTGAAGTGAGACAATGAGAGATGTGTAAATGCAGAGAGTTAGAGAGGGAGAGCGGGACAATTAGCAACATTACAGAAACAGAGGGGAATATTTTTATATATATATATATATATATATATACATATAGAAAGGGAGACAGAGAAAGAGAGAAAGAGAGAGAGAGAGAGAGAGACACAGAGAAAGAGAGAGAGAGAGAGACAGAGAGAGAGGGACAAGTGAACAATCACATTACCAATAGTGCGGCGAACTACGGTTTGCAGCTGTGCGTTGTTCTGTTGGCGGGAGCCAGCACAGAGGACAATGAGCAGGACGAGGGCCAAGAGCAGCGGCAGAGCAGAGGCATGCAGGGGAGGAAGAGCTACATCTGGGTGGTAGTCACGAAGTTCCGAGGCTCCCTGGTGCAGTGTCTCCGAGGCGATCTGCCCGTGGCACGTGTAGCGCTCGAGGGCAAAGTCTTGCAGCGACGCTTGGCTTACCGCTGAACCGACAGAGCCGGCGCCGCGCAATCACGTATGTCTCGCCGCCGTCGGCCTCCTCCCTGCCTCTCCGTGCGCTGCGCAGGGAGAGGCTAAGCATTAGCGGGTGGTCCCTGAGCGCGATGGATCGGCGGGTGGGCCCGAGAGCCATCTGATTCACGAGCGCGCGCTGTTGGTTCTTTGGTTGTCGCGACTCTCCCTCAGGCTGGGCCCCTTTTTGATAGAGCGCTGCCTGCCCCACGCTTCCTCCTCCCCCTCCTCTTCTTCCTCGCTTCCTTTCCCGGCGCTGCCGCTTCCTCTCGGCTTCCCTCTCCTACCTCCGACATCCTATCTGTCCTATTGGGGGGCTGCCAACTGCGCAACTTCCCTCCCCCCCCCTGTAGCCATTGTGGCTCATAACATGAATGGGTGGATGTGAGGCGTACGTTTTGTTTCTTGTAATGCCTGCCCTCTGCGTTTCTTGAGGATCCTGACAGCTAGACCTACACTTTGGCCACAAGAGCTGCAGTCTGTAAACGTTAGATGCGTCTCCACATTCGATCCGCTTCCTGCTGAGCTTCAGCCAGCACAGGACCACCATAAGTCACCTCATGTCCGCAGCGGCTGCAAACACGGTCACCATTTCATGGATTTTCTGGTCTTCGTTTTCAAGCTGGAAGTAGCAGCCGTGCTAGTGTTGATTCTGACCGTGGTCGTGGTGTTTCTTCTGATGCTACGGGAGATGTCCATACGATGACCGGCCGTCTGACATTTAAGGTTGTCGAGTAGCCCGAGGACTCTTCGAATGGCGAAGCAGATGATATGTCCGGACATGATTTCGGGGAGTGGCCAAATTCCGATGCGGAGCCAGAAAGGCGACCAGCTCAGTCCTCCCATCAAGACTTGGGGGCATGCGCGCACGAGTGACGACTCCTCGGGAGCGGCTTGATTGATCACATGTTGGTTGGCTTCACCGGTAACTCTGTGGACTGCACGAGCGGTGGTCGTGGCACTTGCTTGTTGGTTGGGCAGTAGCTCGCTCGCACCATGGACGTGATAGCGACCCGTTTTGTATGTGTGTGTGTGTGTTCGGCCTGAAAACAGAGCATGGCTAAGCTGGCGACGGGAGCCGCCACAGCGCCGCGGTGTTGGCCGCGCTGCTCGCCGGACTGCCCCCCGCGGCCCCCCCGCAGGAGGATGTTCGTCCGATGTGCGTTCCTTGCCGTCCTTGGCTCTGCCCGCCCTGCCCTGGTCCCCATGCCCGGATCGAGCTTCTGAGCGGCCAGCCCATGCCTGCGCCCTGGCGCCCACCCGCCGCACTCCCGCAGGTGCTTCGTCGCGGGCTCGTCCCTCGTCTCGTCTCGTCTCGTCTCGTCTCGTCTCGTCTCGTCTCGTCTCGTCTTGTCTTGTTGTGTCTTCTGATTGGACGTTCGAGAGACCTTTCGGCCGGGTGGCCCGAGATGCGGGCCCAATGGGGTCCCCCGATCGCTGAGCGCGAAGCGGTGGAGGCTGCTTGCGCGCCCAGTTTTGCCCACCCCGCGTCCCCCCGTAAGTCGCGCACCGAAGATTAACTTTGCAGAGGGCCACTCTGGACGTGTAGCCGAGCGTTCTCCTCCTGCACCCTCCTCTTACCTTCCCCCCCCGTCGCCCCCCTCCCAAACCCACCGTCTTCCCAGCCCCCCTCGTTCCCCTAGCCTCCTGCCTTATCCTCCGTGTCCTCCCCTACTTGCGTCGTGCTCTCACTCCTTCTCGCCCTTCTCGGGGAAAAGCAAGACCCGAGTAAGCCGGAACTCGGGTTTGCCGACGTTTTTTTGACGAGCGCGTCTTGGATTTTGACGGTCTAGTTGCCGTGGAATGTTTGCAGCGGGAGCTCGCGTCAAATTTCAGATTGGGCTTCGTCATTTTTATGATGGCCCCGTCGGGCCAACCCGAGTCCCCCGTACCCGAGTCTCACGTCTCCCCGACCTTCTGCGGGCGGAGGAGGATGAGGAAGAGGAGGAATGAGAGAGATGGGTGCGTAGAGAGGAAGGAGGAAGAGGAATAATGGGAGGACAAGGGCAAGGACATCCGCATACGAGGGTGCAACGTCAAAGCACCGACGCAGGCACTTCTGTCAAAATTCCATTCGGTCGGTTGTGCTACAACCCTTCCTTCCCATTAGCGCCGGGAGGGGGCATACCACGTAGCTCAAGGACCGATTTGCGAGGTGGCCCCGTAAGAGAGGCTCGATACTTTACATCACGAGTCCCTGCGGGTCAGTGCGGGTTGAGCGGCTGTTGGCCCTTCCGCGTGCCCTAGGAGGAGGGGACGCGCGGGCTTAGCAGAGCGCCCAAGCCAGGGGGGGAGGGGACGACGACACGACCTCGAAAAGATGAGACTGGGGAGGGACGGACGGCCTGTGACCCCAAACTGCTGCTGGGGGGATGTTTATTATATTGTTTTAATTCCGTGCTTCCCTCCCGCTCGGAGGCAGGCCCCATGCATTGTCGCATCTGTACTTTGATACCGTGTTGTAGTATCCCACCGATCCCTCTCGATGTGTGCGTGTGGGGGGTAGAGCATAGTGGCAGTCACGGTGTATAGTATGGCCATTAAGGAGCAGGCTGGTGGGCTTCCTGATGATCACATTTTTCTCCTTCGACACCCTGCAGTAGTGTACCAGTCGGCACTCGAACAAATATTTCCCATTGCGATGACTGTGCGAGCGCTCCGAGATGCCCATCCTGACCGCCCTGAGTTGCACTCCGAGGAACCTCGCCCATGCTTCTCATGGCTGCCTGTGGGCGCGTCCAGCTTGCAGCTTGCCTAGAGTAGCACTCCAAGAAAACCTCGCTAATGCTTCCCTTGGCACACCAGCAAGCTCCAATGGGTGCGCTTACTGGCGGCTGCTGGAGAAGCTGGCCGTAGTCGTCTCCTCCGACTTGGGGTAGCGGAAATTTGTTGCGAAGGTCTCGGTGCCATCCAGCATGGTACGCGTGCTGTCTCGTAGCTTCTGGCGCTCCTTCAGCCTCTTCACTCCCTCTGGGTCGAGGTTACCCTCGTTGTTCAGCTTTGTACGGCGACCTTCATTGTTTTGTGGATGTTATTTTCGCCGTCTTTGTTGCTATCTTCAGCGCCAGCTCACACTAGCCGTGCACAATCAAAACCTTCCTCCCTGACTTTTCCCATGCGTCGACAGGGTACTTTGCGACGGGGTCGCAACCTTCGATCTTGTACGTCATCGGGGAGGGCACGGGGATCAGCTCGAAAAGCCCCTCTGGGCTCATCTTCTGGGCAGCGTCGAAGAACTGGTAGTGGCACTCCTTGATGGCTTCGCCTAGCTGCTGCGGTAGTCTATCTGCAACGAACGCCTCCCATGTGTCTCCCACCTGGAGCTCCACCACCGTCGACGGCCCACTCTTGAACGGGAGGAACTTACACCTGCACCTGATATTTGGCCACCCCTCGCAGTCGGCCAGCGTTGAGCCAGATCAGCTGTGGCAGCCGAGTATGAGCGATGATAATAGCAGCGTATTCCCATCTGCCTATTCAAACACGTAGTACCTCGCATGCTGTCTTCATCTCCCCCATTGACCGTAACCCGTTCTTACGTTGTGCGTCTGTTGTTCAGTATGCATAGTACCCCGCCCACCATTCTCCGTATCTGCAGCGAAAAGAGGGAGGAATAATCGCATACTGACTGGGACGGGTGGGCTGGTTGTTGCCAAGGAGGCCTTTCCCCAGGGCGTTTCTCTGTAACTCAGCTTCCATTTCTGCTCGGAACTTCAGGGCCACCTCGTGTATCCGACCTTTGGGGCAAAGCGTCTGAGATTGGTGGGGCGCTCAGCGTCCATGCTGATTAGTTCTGCTCGTCTTTCATCGTGCGAAATGTATACGTTCTTCTTCGTCTGTGCGCTGTTGGGCACGCCAACTATGCCCAACTGCCCCTGGGGGGTCCCCCCTGAGGTGGCATCGTCATTGCATGATGCTGACGCCGCCGGGGGTGCAGTGTACGTGCTTGTCCGCGTCAGCCGCGGCTTGGCACTCTGCCCCGGAGTCTTTGCCAATGCAACTACCCCTCCTGACCTCTGTGGTGCAGCATTCCGAGAACACCTCGCTAATGCCACCTCCTCCGTCTTCAGCGGCGCCGACGCTGAAGCCCCCGCCCCGCCATCCTCCAGCTCCGGCATGGGCGCCATCGACTGGGACTTCTTGCCTCCCGCGCAGACGACCAGCATCCCCATCGCAATCCCCAGACTGTGGCTTGCGAGCTGGTCCAGCTTCGCCATGGTGCCTTCCTTCACACCCTTCGGGGGCACCGCTCTGAAGTTGGGGGACTCGTTGATGCCGATCTGGATCTTGCCCGAGCCCTCCTGCCAGAACTCCTGCTCGTCCTCGTTCGGGTTCCTGTTCTTCTTGCCGCGCGCCGTGTAGCCCTCGCTGGCCTTGCGCGTCTTGATCGTCTCTGTGATCATGGCCTGGCTGTGCTCGCTGGTGTCCTCCATCAGCTTCAGGAAGCCGCTCAGGGTGTCCATTGCTCGATCTATTGATGCTGGAACTGCTGTTTGATATTCCTTCTGCCAGCCCGACTCTTGGGTGCCTTCCATGAGCGCCATCCCCGCGTGGGTGCCTTCCATGAGCGCCATCCTCGTGTGGATGCCTGGCGGTCCCATCTTGTTCCCCTTGCCCTTCTCCTTGACATGGTACCCGTAGTTCTCCCCCGCTGCCATCGACTTCCGAAACGCCCAATTGCTGACTGGCATGAGGAAGAAGTCCGAGGTCATGCGGTTCATGTCTCCGATCTCTGCTGCCGAGCGGAGGGCCAGCCTCTGAAGCCCGTTGATGCACCCTCGCAGGTCGAACTCCTCGTAGTCGTCCGCTGCATAGCATATGACTGGCGGGGGGAGGGTCTGCGCCCCCCTCCTCCGCCTGTGCCGCCCCCTCCCGTCGCCGCGGCCGCGGACGCTGGCGGGCTGCCCGCGCCCTTGGCGCTGGCCCCTTCTGCGAGCCACTGGTCTTTTCCCTTGTCCGTGCCGCCCCTGCGGTGCTTCGGCTCTCCTTCGATCTCCGCGCTTGCTCCTCGTTTGGGCGATGGTAGCCTCCACGGCGCCACCGCGGCCCAGGATGGTGGCAGCGCACCTGCGCCCGAAAACCTTCCAAGCATTGAGCCTGCAGGCCGCAGTGGGCGCAGACGAGGGAGGGGGGGCTCTTGTACTGGGTGGTTCCAGCAGCTTCTGTGTTTGAAGCAAGTCCCGTGGCTCTCCGTTGCTCTCGTCGCGTGGTCGGTCGTTATTTTTCTGACGCGAGCAGACTCAAGCACCATGGACGTTGATTCGTTATCCCCAGGCCAGGGATCCGCGGAAGACGGTGGCCCGCCGCCCTCCTGTGCCTTGCCAGCGCCGCCGCCGCAGTAGATTGCGCCCCGCGCGCTTGCCCCTGGCCACCTGCTTGGCCCATGGCGTAGGCGCTTCGCAAACCCGTCTACTTTCCAGCTTCCTGATCTGGCAGAGACGGCCAAGCTTCGACCTGCCAAACTCTGCTGCCAACACACTGCCAAAGTCGTCCGGATATTTCGCCCATTGGTTGTACCACCGTAGCTTGCGCATCCTCAGCGCAATCGAGCAGCGCGGTATCCTCCATCACCTGAAGACCTCCTTGTTGGCGTAGCGCCTGCTCGTTCCATCTGCTTCTACCCAGCTCATCCTGCCTCCTGCCATTATTCTCAAAAGCAGTGCCATCGTACTGTCGAGTGCCTTGAAGCGACGCCGCTCCAGTACAAGCGCCGTCAATGCACTACGGCGTGCTCACGAAACAAACGCCTGTTCTTCTTGATCTTGTCTGTAGTATCCGAAGACCAGCAGCACCCACATTGTCTGTAAGCTAACTGCATGGCCTCGCACCGCCTCTTGATCTCTCCCGCGTATCCATGATCTCCTTGTAGGTATGGTCCCAATACTCTCATCTCCCTCATCGGCGTGCCGTTGATCCTCTTCTCTCTCTCTCTCTCTGTAGTTGGTTTGTGGTCCCGTCTCGCCCTGGTCCTCTAAGAGCCATCAGGTGGTTGGTCTTGGCTGGGTTCAAGCTCCATTATCCTCTCTCCAGCTTGCGCTCTAGGCGCTGCGTGGTGGCATCGATCTGCTTTGCAATTCTTCTCGCATGGGCTTTTGGGCGATCCGAGATAACCTTGCTTCCGCCATAAGCCGAATAGAACTGGGAGCCTGGGCGAGCCGAGAAATCCTTTTGTTCGTTGACTGGGTCCATCGTACCATGTACTGTCTGCATCTCGTCCCTTATCCTTTCTTCCTGGTGCCATTGTCCCACGTAGAGGTTGTAAGTCTCATTGAACTGCCTTGGGCACAAGGTAAATCACATTTGCGCCCCTCCTGTGGCCCTTGCATGCAGTCAGTCGTCTGCGCATTCTATATTCAAAAAGAGGAGGAGCAGGAGGAGGAGGAGCAGGAGGAGGAGGAGGAGGAGGAGGAATGGGACGCCCCTCCTCCTGCTCCTCGTCCTCCTGGCCTTGCGCCCGATCCTGCTCACCCCTGTCTGTCCCGGCAGCTTCCCTGAGCTGCCGCCAGAGCCGCAGAGAACACGGGGAACAGCGCGCACGGGGCAAAAACGAAAGACGACAGAACACGAAACACAAAAAACGGTGACAAACACTGAGGAACGAGCGCTGCACAAACACAGCTGCTGTTTGTCTGGCTGGCTGGGGGTCGTCTTCTTTCAAATGTTTCTGTCGGTGCTCCGCTTTCCTTCCGCCCCGTCCTGCCGCCGCTTCTCCCCCCCCCTTCTCTCTCGCCCCTCCTCCTCCTCCTCCTCCTCCTCCTCCTCCTCCTCCTCCTCCTCCTCCTCCTCCTCCTCCCCCTCCCCCTCCCCCTCCCCTCCCCTCATCCTCCTCCTCCTCCTCCTCCGCCTCCTCCTCCTCCTCCTCCTCCTCCTCCTTTTCCCCCCCCCTTCTCTCTCGCCCCTCCTGCCCCGGCCCCCCGCCCTCGCGCCGCTCCTCCCCGCCGCGCGGGCGCCCCCCCCTCCGCCTATGCCCCCCTCTCGGCCTGCCCGCTCTCCCGCCGCGGGCGCCCCTGCCTCCCTCCCCCTCCCCCCCCTAAGAGGTGCCGCACGGGTGCTTCCTCCTCCCTCCTCCTCCTCCTCCTCCCTTCCTCCTCCTCCTCCCTCCTCCTCCTCCTCCTCCTCCTCCTCCTCCTCCTCCTCCTCCCTCCCCGCTCCCGCCGAGGGCTCCCCTGCCCCCCCCCCTCCCCCCAGACGTGCCGCGCGGGTGCTTCCCTCCCCCCCCCCAAAAGGTGTGGGTCCGCCCGCCCTCCGACTCCGGCAGCACCGCGGAGAGCGAGGGCCCCGCCGAGGACGGCCATGGGGCAGCCCAGGGCCGGGGAGGCCAGGAGAGGTCGACGGGCACGGCCCGAGAGGGCCCCCGAGGTGGCCTCTGAGGGCTGGGGAGGCCAGGGAGAGGTCCCGGGCACGGCCTGAGAGGGCCAGGGCCGGGGAGGCCAGGGCGAGGTCCCAGGGCGGGGGAGGCCAGGGAGAGGTCCCGGGCACGGCCTGCAGGAGAGGGCCACCGAGGTGGCCTCCGAGGGCCCCGTTGTTTCACCGGCTCCGTCGCCGCGTTCTTTGACCGGTTCCGGCTCCGGTTCCAATCCATGGAGCCGTTTTTGCTGCCGTTTCCGGTTGCCGTTTTCTTGCCGTTTTCGTTTTCAAGGGGTATTTTTCGGAAACGGTGAAAAAACGGCCCTGCCGTCTCCGGGGCCCACTAAGGCTCGGAGGACCCACAGACAGCCAGCAAGGCTTTCAAGAAGGCCCCCAGAGGGCCCCAAGAGAGGCCCAAGACGGGGAACGCGCAGGAGCGCTGGGAGGGCTCCCCTGCACTGGTATTCCCCAAGAGGCCCCCCGAGAGGCCCCCAGAAGCACCACATGGCCCCCGAAAGGAAGAAGGACAATCGACATACAGTAGAGACCCATATCAAGAAGCACCCTGCTCGCCTCCAGGGTGCCCTGGGTTCCTTGGGTTTCGATAGGTCTTGCGATGGAGAGCGCGACGCTCCCACACCACCAATCAGTGGACGCCCTTGGGTTTCAGGGTTGGGTTTCTTGTGGAAGGTCTGTTGTGGACTGGCCTTCACTGTAAGCGCAGCCTGTCGGAGCTCCGCGCGGATCTCTTGGCTCGGCGCTGGGCCCCCCTCCGCGCGCCGGGGAGGGGGATCCAGCGCCGATCCGAGAAATCCGCGCGGACTTCCCAGTGTTCTGGGGTGGACAGAACCCCCAACAGTGACACGTCGATTAGTGAATTGTCCGTTTTCGGTTCTCGAGAGGGCGCCGTGGCCGTTATTTTCCAGGCTTGCGCCCGCCAGGTTTGGGCCTCAGGTCGTTTTCACTAAACCACGTTTTACTAAAGGGGGGTCTGTCCATCCCCGAAGTGCTTGTGCTCAGACAGTGGTGTTGCTCCTCGGCAAGGGGGGGCGGGGAGGCCTCACGGGGACGGTGCCGTTCCCTGCTGCGATGCGGGGGGCCCCGCCCTTGCCCCCCGTTGACGAACACCCGAGCAAGCGTGGCACACTGGCGCCGAGCTCGGCGCCAGTGTGCCACGCTTGCGTGTGCGTCTCGGCTTCGTCGAGACCTCGTCTCTGGGCTGGAACGACCCGGTGCAAGGCACCGCATGTCCCAGCGATGCAGTGTCTCTGAGAAGCCTCTGAGAGGCTTCTGAGAGGTTTCTGTCACTCCTGTACTCCTACCTCAGACCTCCTTGTTCTTCCTACTTGTGGGAAGAGTGAGACGAGGACGAGGCGGAGGAGGAGGAAGAGATGGCGGTGGGAGGAGAGATGAAGATAGCTCTCGACGACGACGACGACTGCGATGACCACGACAATGACGACTATGGGCCGTTTTGGCCTCTCGGGAGCGTGCTTTGGAGACTTCCTGGCTACTTGGGGCCGTCTTGGGGCGATCTTGGAGCCTCTTGTAGGCTTGTTTGGAGCTATCTTGAGTCATCGATGGCTGTATTGAGCGATCTTGGAGGTCATCTTGAGCTCTCTTGGGCCCCTTTTGTCGCCATCTTAGGCCACAGGGGACGCTCTAACCCATCGCGGAAAGCCTCCTTTCCAAGCCCAGGGGTGGGGGTAGGAGGAGGGTTGAACCCCTCCCCGAAGGGAAGAGGGGGTTCAACAGAACGGGCTTCTTCAACCACTCACGCCCTAAAGGGCTGCTGGGGCTCAATACAGAGGACTGTCAGGCACCAGAGGGCATGCCACTCACGATGGGGATGACGATGATGCACATACTATGGGGATTACGTGGATAACATAATGATGAGGATGATGGGGATGACGATGATGCACATACGTATGATGAGTAGTTCGTCTTATGCTCGCAGTGTTGAGTGCGATCGCCCTCCTTGTCCTCCATCCTCTCCCCTCTGCCTCCTCCGCGATCTGCTCCCCCTCTTCTTCCCCCTCTGCCTCTTTCTCGTCCTCCTTCTCCTCCTTCACTCCCCCTGTTCTCTCCCGTCATCCGTGTTCTGTCCCCTCCAGGGGGAGGGATGGGGAGTCGATGATGATGACGATGATGCTGGTAATGGTAATGATGATGGTAATGACGATACTGATTAGGCTGATGTCGATGATGAAACGGATGGTGGCGATACTATTAGTGTTGACGATGATGATGAAACTGATGACTATGATGATGAGGATGAGGATGATGATGATGGTGGTACTGGTGGCGGCGATAATGATGATGCTGACTACGATGCTGATGATGATGCTGATGATGATGATGATGATGATGATGATGGTGATGATGATGCTGGTGGTACTGGTAACGGCGAAAATCACGATGCTGACTAGGATGATGTTGATGGTGGTACTGGTGACGACGATGATGATGATGCTGAGTACGATGGTGATGCTTATTAGGATGACGGCCATGACGATGATGGTGTTGGCAATGACGGTCTGGTGTTGACGGTGATGATGATTATGATGATGGTGATGACGACGATTGTCATATGATGACGGTGATGACGACGGTGATCAGTATGATGATGGTGGTGACGATGATGACTTTTATGATGGTGGTGGTGGCGATGGTGATGGTATTTGTACACCTCTAGTAGGATTCTATAAGGGACGGCTGCATCTCGAATCGGATCCTCTTAGAGGTGGATACATCTCGAATGGGATTATATTCGGGGTGGTTAAACCTTTTTAGGATTCTACCAGAGGTGGATGCACCTCTAACTGGGTTTTATTAGGGGCGGATACACCTTTAATAGGATTCTATTAGGGGTGGGTAAACCTCTAATCGGATTCTATTAGAGGTGGATACACCTTTAATCGGGTTCTGTTAGGGGTGGACACCTCGAATAAAAAACTACTAGGGAAAAGTGCACTTCGAATAGGATTCTATTCGAGGTGGATACACCCCTAATAGGTTTCTGTCAGAGATGGATACACCTCTTAATAGGTCTCTACTAGAGGTGGATACACGTCCAACAGGGTTCTATTGGAGGTGGATGCGCCTCTACTAGGATTTGATGAGAGGTGTTTACACCTCTAATAGGATTATGTTAGGAGTGGACACACCACTGATGGGATTCTACCAGTGGTGGATTAACTTCTGCGTGTTATTAGAGGTGGGCACACCTCTTATAGAATTCTATTGGAGGTGGATGCACCTCTAATACGTCTCGATCACAGGTGGATACACCCTTACTAGGATTCCATCAGAGGATTGATATACCTTTAAAAGGATGGTGTCAGGGGTTGATGCTCCTCTAAAAGGTTACTGTCAGAGGTGGATGCACTATAGGATTTTCTGTTGGGTGGATGCGCCTTTAATAGGTCTCTATCAGAGGTGGGTACACCTTCTAATCGGATGTCGTTAGGGATGGATATTCCTCTATTAGGATTCTATCAGGGGTTCATACACTCCTAAACGGATTCTATTAGAGGTGGATACACTATTGGAGGTGGATACAGTCCGAATCGGATTTTATTCGGGGGGGATGCGCGTCTAACAGAGTGAGGGAGCCGAACGGTCACTCATTGTCCCTAGGTGCGTGGCTGAAATGGAAATCTGTGGTGGGGATTCTGCTTGTTGTTGTCGCCGCCCCCCCCCCCCCCCCCCCCCCCCCCACCCGACCCACCCGCGACCCACCCCGCGACCCACCCCGTGACCCATCCCGCGACCCACCGCGCCCCGCCCCGCGACCCACGCGTGACCCACACGCGACCCACCCGCGACCCACCCCGCGACCCACCCGCTACCCACCCGGCGACCCATCCGCGACCCACCAGCGACCCACTTGCGACCCACCCACGGCCAATCCCGCGACCCATCCCGCGACCCACCCGCGACCCACCCGTGACCGATCCGCATTGGTTTGAAGGAAAAATCGGCGCTTGCGGCGGGTTCGGTGTAGAAGTTGTGAAACCTTGGCGCCTGCGGCGGGCTTCTCCAGAGTCTTGCAGACTGCCGACGCCCCCACCGCACCCATCACTCTGATTCGCATCTGCGGGGTGCTGCGTAGGATTATGTTAGAGGTGTTGGCACCCCTTAATCGGGTTCGATTAGAGGTGGATTCGCCTCTAATCGGATTTCGTGAGGGGTGGATGCACCTCTGATAGGATTCTACTCGAGGCGCGGAGGTGCGGAGGTGCGGTGCGGTGCTCTCCCCCCCAAAGCCCCGAGGGGGCCTCTGAATGCCGGTGTTCCTCCTGTGGGGACGACGGGTAAGCGAGGCCCTGGGCACGGGGCCCAGGAAGCGGGTGTTGCCTTGCCTTGCTGTTGTAGTTGTTGTTGTAGTTGTTGTTGTTGTTGTTGTTGTTGTTGTTGCTGTTGCTGTTGCTGTTGCTGTTGCTGTTGCTGTTGCTGTTGCTGTTGCTGTTGTTGTTGCTGGCATTGTAAGTGTTATTGTTATTGTTATTGTCCTTGTCATCGTTGCTGTTCGTGTTCTTGTTATTGTTGTTGTTATTGTTGTTGTTTTTGTTGTTGTTTGTTCTCGTCTTCCCCCCCCCCGCGACCCAGCCCGCGATCCACCCGCGACCAACCCGCGACCCACCCGCGACCCACCCGCGACCCGCCCGCGACCCACCCGCGACCCATCTGCGACCCACCCGCGACCCATCTGCGACCCACCCGCGACCTGGCCCGCGACCCACCCGCGACCCACTTTGCGACACACCCACATTGCTCCAACAAAAAATCGGCGCCTGCGGCGGGGCTCCTCAGAGCCTCTCGGAGTGGTGACGTCCTCGCCGCCACCTCAGTGTTATCCGCAACTGCGGGGTGCTACGTATTATGTGCAGCTTCTCGTCCCCGACTGTTGGGCTCCACTCGTGGGGCCGCGTAGCATTTCGGCATTCAGCCTCGGGTGCTTGAGCACTGGCCTCCAGCATTTTCCCTCTTTCCAGGGCGTTCTCGAGCTCCACTCGCGCGGACGTTGGAGTGGCCACGGCGCGCCATGCCTGGTCTGTAATGGCTGCGCCATGCGCTGGAGTTCCTGGGCTACGACTTGGCCTGGTTCCTGGGTGTTTCTGCTGTCGGGAACTTTTGGACAGCGTGTCGCACCTCTGGTTCTGGCCCATCACTCTTCGGCGCGACTCGCTACCAACTTCGGGGCCCCCAAGTGTTAACATCCTGAGCCTTTTCCGAGCTTGCCGCCCCACGGATTGGGGCATTCTTGGGACCTCTTGGGCGCCCCTTGGGGCGGAGGACTCGAATTTTCGGTTCGTGCTCCCCCTCTTGGGCCTTTCTGGGGGCTTGCTCTTGGGCTCTCTTGGGTCGTGTTGGGCGCCTCTGGGGCCGTTGTGGATCCCTCATTCGCCATGTCGGGGCCCTCCCGGGGGCCTCTTGGCCCGCTTTTGGGCGGCCTTGGGGGCCTCTGAGGCAGTCTTGGAGCGTCGGAATCTTGAAAAAGCCGAGGACCCCAAGAACATCGAACAACCCAAGGAACATCAATGATATTGGCCTCTCGGGACTATCTTGGGAAAGTTCTTGGGGCTGTCTTGGGGCGCCTCGAAAGCCCACGCGACGCGCCCCTAACAGAATCCTCGGGATTGGGGGCAGAGGCTGAAGGGATTAGGCCAAGGGCCTGAGGACACTCCAACTCGTGCCTCACGGGTACAATGGCGGATGCCCCCCATTTCTAGAAACTCATTGACAAGTATTGCAGCGAGCGCGTTGTGTCCCATACGTTATCTCTGCCCGTGCCGTTCCTACTCTGCACAAGCCCAAGGCACATTATCGAAAATATGGTTTCTTTCCGTCTGCGTTTCCATGTTCCGCCTGCGCATATCATCCTACAGTCGATGTCGTATCTTACGATGTTACGTCCTTGCGCTGTGTATGTCTATACGTTCATTGCCTACCACGTGTCAGGAGCGAGTTAGCCAATCCGCCAAAGAGCAAGCGAACGCAGACGCAGGTGCTTACCATGTAAAGTGTTTTTTTCGCGGAACGGGTGGGCAGATTCTGATAGCAGACAGTTGTTCTCAATTTCAGTTGGTTCTGCCATTCCCCGTTTCCAATTGCATCCCTTCGTCCATCAGTTGTATTTCTTTCATCCTTATCTCCCTCCTCTATCTTTCTCCCTCTCCCTCTCTCGTTCTCTCTCGCTCTCTCTCTCTCTCTCTCTCTATGTCTTTCTCTCTCTCTCTCTCTGCCGATCGACATCCCTACCACGTTTTTTTGGCAAGAGGCCTCTTAGGCATGTGGGTGTCTCCGGGGAGGCGTCTTGGGAGCCTATGAGGGGACTTTTTGGGGGTATTGGGCCTCTCGGAGATCTTTCGGGGTCTTGATGGGGGCATGTGGGGGCCTGTAACTCTGTCTCTCTCTCTCTCTCTCTCGCTCTCTCTCTCTGTCTCTCTCCTTCTCTCTCTCGATCCCTCTGATGTCGGGGGACGGGTCGGGCTGCCGATGTCGACATAGTCAATACACGGTGTTGGCGGGGTCTCGAGGTCTGGCATTGAACCCTCCAGGAACACCCCCCCCCCGCTGCTGCGACACACCCGGAGCATCGTAGGCCCTCCCAGAGCCTTCGCCATGAAGAAAAAAGGTCCAGACTTGTTTGCCCCGCTTTCGACCTCTCGGGGACCTCCCCGAGAGGCTAACAACGGAGAAGCACTACAATGTTAAACTGGATGTATATGTATATGTATATGGATATGGATGTTCTCCAGCTTTGACCTCACATGGTGAGTCGGTGCATTATGTTTGCTATGTGATGAAAGCTACGCTGTGTAAGCGTTGCGGCGAAGGCTATGTCGACCAAGTCATGTTGCGAAAGTTGTTCAGTGCACACCTTATTGCGTAAGCTTTGTGTTGTGAGCTACATGGTGTTAGCTATGGTGTGCAACCTATGTGGGGCAAGCTCTGCGGTGAAAGCTGTGTGGCGCGAGCCGCGTGGCGACGGTCAGGCAGTAAGCTGTGCTGTGCCAGATCTGTGGTGTCAGCCACGTGCTGCAAGCTACAGCCGGCCCGGATGAGTAGGCCGACCCTGCCAGCTCAAGAGCATCCTTGTGGCTTGTGCCTCGCGACGCGTGCATTCCTGCACTCCTGTGGTGACGTGGCCCTCGGAAGGGTCTAGTGTCCTCTCGCGCGTCCTGTCCAATCAAGGCCGACTGTATGTGTTGCAAGCTACGTGGTTAGGGGGACAACAAGTGACACAAACATCAAAACTCGGAGGTCCGCGCGGATTTCTCGGATCGGCGCTGGGGCCCCCCGGCGGCGCCTCCGGCGGCGCCTCCGGCGCCGCCCTTGGCACGCTCCGCGCGCCAGGGAGGAGGCCCCAGCGCCGATCCGAGAAATCCGCGCGGACCTCCGAGTTTTGATGTTTATGCAATTTTTTGTTCCCCCAGTGGTGCAAGCGATGCCGTGTCGGCTGCGTGGCGTGAGCGCACCGGGCGCCCACGGGACGCACCCGCGAGCCGCCACGCGCGCCGCAGCGGCGACCGCTCTGGGCAGCGCGCAACCGCGCGCGCACCGAGGCGCCCGCGAGAGGCGCCCGCGAGGAGCGCGCCCGCCGCACGCGGCGCCCTCGGGGCGCCCACGAGCGGCACGGGCGCCGGCGTGGCGGGAAGCGTGAGGCGAGCCCGTCCTCCTCCTCCTCATCCCTCCTCCTCCTCCTCCTCCTCCTCCTCCTCCTCCTCCCTGTTCCTCCTCCTCCTCCTCCTCCTCCTCCTACCTCCTCCCTCCTCCTCCTCCTCCTCCTCCCTCCTCCTCCTCCTCCTCCTCCTCCTCCTCCTCCTCCTCCTCCTCGGCCTTCCCTTCCTCCAAGTAGGTTCAGAAACCTCCTGCAGGAGCCTCAGGGGCAAGCATTTTTTCGGGTGCAGCTGAACACAATCAGCCTCCGGGCCCTGCCCTGGGCCTCGGGATTGTCGGGAGAGGACTCGGGATGAAGAGCCAGTCCCAGGGAAGGCCCCATGGGGTCCAGGACCCGTTTCCCTCATGCCACGGTGTCTCCCAGACTCTTTTTGCTTGGAGATTGTGCGGAGCCTCCTCTGCCCCTCTGCGCCGAGGCGGCACCGCATTGCTCTGGATCGGCTGTTTTCCGACGCTCTCTCCTGAACGTCCGAAGTTTTCGGGTCAAAATGCCACAAAGTCAGTGCCATGGCCGTCTGGACTCACATTCGGCAGCCTGTCGGTGCGTGTCCAAAACTGCAGCATGTGCTGGAACCGTTTCAGTTCAAGGGTTTGTTGATGGGTCTGTTTTCCACCACCACCACCACCATAACTTGGAGGGGGGAAGGAGGAGGACGAGGAGGAGGAGGAGGATGACGAAGAGGAGAGGGCGGAGGAGGAGGAGAAGGAGGAGGAGGCGGCGGACGCCCTCCCCCTCCAACTTATGGTGGTGGTGGTGGTGGAAAACAGGCCCATCATTGGTTGGAGTTGTTTCATGAACGCTGCCTTCTCTTGGGGCCTCCTCTTGGGCTCTCCTGCGCCATCGTGGATGGCACGTGGGCGAGCAGGCGGGCAGGAGGGCTGGCCGAGCGAAGCAGAGGGGAATGAGAAGAGACGGAAGAAGACGAGCAGCAGGAAGAGCAGAGGGGTCGGACGCCTTCGTGGACAGCGCTAAACGCTCATAGTATTGGATCGACATTGTTGGAGGGAGGGGGAGGAGGAGGAGGAGGAGGAGGAGGGCCTCGCTTTCTTTTCGCACTCCACTCTGCGGCCTGGCGGGCGCATAATCTATGGCCTTAAGGGCCCTCGTCGTCTTCTCGCATCTCTCAGCCTCAGCTTTTTCAGCCGCGCCCGCCAGGCTTCATTGCTTTGCTCTCTGCCTGAGCCTGCTTACTGCGCACTTCTTGCACACCAAGAACCCAAGGATCTTTGATCCGTGTCTGTGCAGCGTCAACGCCGAGGAGTCAAGCAGTGGCGAAGCATCTTGGCTTGCCTATAGCCCCACCAAACAATGTTCTAAGAACCTTTTGTGGTTTCCACGAAATGTTCTTAGAACATTTCTGGCTGGGACTGTCTTGTTTTAGCACCGGTTCTATGTTTTAAGAACATTGGTTTGATTATTAGAACATTTTGGGGTTCAAAGAACGTTTCGTGGTATGACTATAGGAATGCCAGGACGGTCGGTCCCTGCTCAAGAATTTGCGTTGGACCCTCCTGGCGTCGCCCATGGCGTCGCCCTTTCTATGTTCCGCGCGCCAGGCGGAGGGGTCTGGCGCAGATCCAAGACATCCGCGCGGAGTTGTGTCAGTGCATGTTCATGGAGATGTTTCTTCCTCTGCAGTGGAAGCGCGCATCAAGAAACCGAGTTATTTTCGCCAGGATACCCCGGGTCTCTTCGATTCCCGCGGCAGTTGAGAAGCTGCTGCGTTTAGGGTGCTCCGGGCTTCCCCTCAGCTGTACCTCGCGCGCGGGTTTTCAGGGCTGGGTTTCTTGCGATGGTTCCTTGCGACCGCGCCCGCACCATACCCCCCTGGCCCAGGTGCAAAGACAGACGCGGCCTCTCAGTGAAGTGACCGCCGCCCCACGTCCACCAAGTTTTAATAGTCATCTGCCGCAGACCTGCAGGCGCCGCGGCCCCTCCTTCTTGATCCCATGTCGGCAAGGGGAGGGAGCTCCAATCGATGGTTGATAGACCTCCTACCCTGACACGTCGATTAAGGAATTGGCCGTTTTCGGTTCGCGAGAGGGCGTCGCGGCCGGTATTTTTGCGGGTCCAGGTCCGTTTGTTTCGTTCCTAGGCCGTTTTCACTAAGGGGAGGTTTACTAAAGGGAGGTTTGTCCACCACCGGTCCAAGGAATTCGAGAGACCGGCGCTTCAGAATTCTTTCGTGGGGAGGAGGATAGATCAGGGGGAGGAGCGTGGATATCAGAGACTGGAGCTATTGTGGTATGGGCGATGCTGGACGAGCGATCCGAGAGACCGGCGCTTCAGAATTCTTTCGTGGGGAGGAGGAGGAGGAGGAGGAGAGCTCAGGGGGAGAAGCGTGGATATCAGAGAATGGAGCTATTGTGGTATGGGCGATGCTGGACGAGCGATCCGAGAGACCGGCGCTTCAGAATTCTTTCGTGGGGAGGAGGAGGAGGAGGAGGAGGAGGAGGAGGAGGAGGAGGAGGAGGATAGATCAGGGGGAGGAGCGTGGATGTCAGAGAATGGAGCCTTTGCGGGATGGGCGATGCTGGACGAGCGAGTCTGCGAACGGCGTGCCCAACATGGAAACGTGCCGCCTGGTGCAGAGTGCACGTGAGGGTGGTTGCGTCGTGCGGTGGATGCCTGTCTCGTCATCCCCCATGTTGTCTTTCAGGAGGGGAAAAAACACACAGGCACAATTAATCGTCGATTCCTCAGAAAATATGGGAAAAGATGGGAAGTGGGGGGGAAGACAGAAACCCAGAAAATATGGGAAACTACTGGGAATATTCATATTTGTGTGCATTTATTTGTGTGTCCCAGGGCCCCTTCAATGTGGTCTCGCCTGCTCTCGGCCCAGCCTCCCCGGCCCGTGCTTGATCCCGCCGCCCTGCTCGGGGAGGCGTGCTCTCCAGGTGCAAGACGGCGCCTGAACCATGATGCTTCCGTGCACGCGCCACACCTCATCGAGGGTTTCGTTCTCCTGACTCCCCTCTCGCCATGCTCCGTTCCTTCCCGATTCAGCCTCGTCAGTCGTTGGGCTTGCTCCTGCTATCCACAGTGCTCCCCCCCGCGCCCTTTTGGACGCGCTCATCGCCTTCCCTGTCTGCGCGTTGCTTTGCTATTCCAGGCCGTGGTCCACTCGCCTGATCATTTACATGTACACCATGGGTGAGAATACCTCGCAAACAGTAGTGGTGGCACAAGCATGAGTGCTGACAGCTGCCCCATGGCGGTCACTGTGATTCGGGAGTCTTCGCGCCGATGTACATATATGCAATGCGCCAGCTAGCTAGTGTTGCACGTAAGGTGCACGCCATCAAGCTATTGTTCGCTGGAGCGATTTCGCTCAAGCCATTTGGTCAATTTCTTCCGCTCTCGGTACAGATGCGCAGGCAACCATGCCAGCCGGTGGGAAAACCAGTGCGCCAGTGTTTGTGCCTTGTCATGCCTCGTGCCGCCGCCCTGAGCAATGAGCCATCTGACGCAAATCCTCCGATCCACCCCGCAAATCCCAGCTCTGCCATTCTGTCACACTAGCTGTTGCCCATGATGCGCTAATCGATTATTGTGGTGCTTTAGAACCATGCTGCAGTCTCCCTGGCCAGCTTACTCAGATTGCCCTCCCTGTCTTGCCTTCGCGAAGTTCTACAGGTAACGTTGCCCGTGCGCACATCCGCATCGCGCACCGCACCATAAGCGTGGCGACGCAACAGGAAGCGATGAAGTGTACAGTCGGGGCCCTGAAGAAGGAACCCTTGTCATTGGGGAGGGGCTCGGTGTTCCTTGATTGTTTCACAGCTTGCCTCAGGCTTTCCTTATGTTTTCGACAGGAAATCGAAGTTAAACTTCTGGAAACAAGGGGCCTCGTTCCTTATTTGGGGTTCCTTAGGTCAACGCCTCGACTGTACATGGGCGGTGGAGGAGACGCGCGGGGGGGGGGGGGAACTCGTGGTGCCCTTGGCAGTGCCCTCGCTGTCATCACAGGTGGACCTCCGCACAGGTCCCTCGGCGCACGCGTCGAAGCGTGCATGCAGGTCGACGGCCAGGGCGGTGCGCTCCTGCTGTCACCGCCCACGCCGCCTTCAGCTGTCCCGCGCGGCGCAGACCCTGGGGGTGCCCGATGGCGGCGATGTCGCCGCTGGTCCCCGAGGCCGTCCCAGGCGCCGGGGCCGGGCACCGAGGAGGACGGCGGCGTCTGGTCTCGAAAGTGTTCGGCGGTTTCCGGTGTGTTTTGAAGCGTGCTATCATGTCTTCAGGGTGCCTCGGATCCCGAGGCGCCGACCACATTCCTGCAGCGATCCTGGCCAGGCCCATCGTGAGCCAAGATTTGGGCCGATTCCGGAACCAGGATCAGGTGTTCAGTTGGTGTTTCCAAATCGGAGCATTTGGTGTTCTCGAAAGTTTTCGAGTGCCATCGTTTTGTTTTGGTTAGTGAATTATTCGAAGCCCTCTAATGCATCACAGCGCCTTCAGCAGTTCGGGCTGCTTTCGTTTGTCGTTTGATCTGGAAGTGTTGAATGGTTGCCCCACCACATCCTTACTATCCTCTTACTCGTCTTCCTGCCGTTTCTCCTCACCCTGATGTATTTCCCAGTGGAGATCAGAGGACGGGAGGGCGATGATAAGCAGGGCCAGGTTTCGGGGGGTCGTCCAAAGTGCACCCAGCGCCGCACGCTGGCGAGGCGTGAGGGGGCAGGGAGCGGGGGGAATGGGGCTTGCAGAGAGGAGGCGTTGCAGCCCAAAGTGGTTTGGGGGAGGATTCGATCTGGAGCTCGGTATCAAGTGCGCTTTCGTCCGTGCATGGGCTGCGACCGGCCTCGTGCCCTAACCCTCCTCTGGCCATGCCCCCCCTCTGGCCCTGACCTCCCGCCTCCCTTGACGAACCCTCGAGGCATGGGGGGGGGAGAATGGTGGGGGAGCCCAGGATCGTGATACCCCGCGGCAGCGCGGGCTGGGCGAGAGCGCACGGCCCTCTGCACTGGCCCTCGCCCCTGAAGTGAGTGGATCCCCTCAGCGGCGCGCTAGGGGGGGAATGGAGAAGGAGAAGGCCTTCTGAGAAGGCGGCGGGGCTCCTCCGAAGCCCTCGGGACTTTGAGAAATTCTTTGTGTTGCCTGGGAAGGCTAGAAAAACTTGTCTGAAGGCCGAGGACTTCCAAGCCTTCTGAGAAGACCCGCTCTTTCTCACTTCCCCCCCGGGCGCGCCGCCGATGTGTACGGAGATGCAGCGCCGACACCGCCGAGAGCAGCACTCAGCCCTGCAGCGCAGCACTCAGCCCGACAGCGAGCGTGGCCATGGAATCACGCGACCGTGCATGCAGAATCGTGGCAAGTCGGCGCGGGGCTCAGCCAACAGGTACGACGGCACTTGATCATGATTCTTGTGTAGCGGCCACCTGAAGGCCAGCACTCCGCCTTCCCCAGACCTCTACGACACCGCAGGGCTTTCTGCTTGCCACCACGACAGTGATCTCGAGTGAGAGCGAAACGGGTACCAACCAAGACGGCCTCAGCGCAGATGGTGGTGGACGTAGGACAGCCACTGGTGCCTGATGGTGCGTTACTCGGTATTCCTGAAGGCGTAGTTGCCCACACATTCGCGCATGGTGTGTGCTGCGAACCTTGCCTGGGCGCTCTGTGTGCAGGCGTTGCGCCAGCATCCAAAACTGTGTTCGCAGGCGCCGCCAGCCGCAGCACAGCCGTTCGCGCCCGTCGTTTCAGACAGCGGCGCGCAAGAGTTGACGCCACGCCATCGTCATGCAACTGTTGGATTTGTGGCCGCGTCGGCCGCTTCGCCCTGTAGGCTCATCTTGTGTCCGCCCTCTGTCGCGGCACCCTCCTCTAATCGCATCCCCCTAGCATCAGATTCCCTCGCACCCTGCACA